CAAGGCATTTGGGGCTCTGACCACCGTGTGCTTCAGAACGCCTAGAACATGAAAGACGGAAGACTTGGCGCAGCAACTTGAGATCGTGGGGAGCCCTGCTGGTGTGACTTCCCCCCCACCAGTCATGGAGTCAGCAGCCCGAAACTCCGGATCACCTTTGAACTTTTGTACCCTAAAGCTTAGGGGTTTAGTGGGTTAGGATTTTGCAGTTTGGGGTTTAGGGTTCAGGGTTTAGGGTTGCCCAGCAACATCGCCCTTCCCGAGGAGAGATTTGAAGGGATGCGTGCCTAAAGCTTGTAAACCCTAAGCCCTGGCATAAATTCCAAAGTCAGGTGACACCGGGCTCGTGGACCGTTTGCTCTACAACATACACATCCTGTGACCTACGACTATGCCCCAGTTCTGGTACTTTATATACCCTTTAGCCCCTAAACCCTAAACCCAACTACTAGGATGAGCCTGAGGAACCCGAAAACAAAACATCAGAGTGGCGATGGCCTTTTGAGACGTATGTTGGGCTTCTAAACCCTAATTCCTAAACCCTAGACGCTAGACCCTAAACCCTAAACCCTAGACCTTTTGGAACGTCTGCGAAAGCCGATCCAGGAGGATCAAGGTGAGTCCTGCGCGGCCGCGTGTGGCGCAGCACTCGATCGCAGCCCCCAGGCTCGTGGCATCGGCTGTCAAGGACCTGGAGGTTTAGGGTTTAGGGTTTAGGGTTTAGGGTTTGGGGTTTAGGGTTTAGGGTTTAGGGTTTAGGGTTTAGGGTTTAGGGTTTAGGGTTCCGGAGATAGGGGGGTACCCTTTCTGGGATTCTTTGAAAAGGACTTGTAGTATTTGGGGGTACATAAGGGGTACCCTATGTTCGGAAATCCCCACCTGCAGGTCATGTCCCAGAGGAGCTGTACAGCCTTCTCCCACTGGAAGGCCTTGCAGCAGGACTCGATGGCGGCATTGAAGGAGAGGCGGTTGGGGGTCAATGCCCGCCTCTCGATCTGCGACAGCAGCTCCAGGGCAACTTGCCATCGGCTTGCTTTCTCGCAGGCACCGATGCATGCAGTGAGCGTCACGATGTTGGGGCTCATCTTCCCAGCCATTCCGGACAGAACGTTCAACGCCTGGTGCCATTGCCCACACTTCTCGCAGGCGCTAATGGCGGAGCTGCACGCAACAACGTCGACTCGTACTGCTGCCTCCATCCTGCGAAACATGCACAAGGCTTGATGCCACAACATCGCCTTCTCGCCGGCGCTGACGGTTGCGCTGTAGATGATCACGTCAGGCAGGGCCGAGGCCCTGACCATGCGAGCCAAAAGGCACAGGGCAACACGCCACTCACTCGAAATCTCACAGGCGCTGATGGCCGAGCCATAGGTGACTTGATTGGAATCAGCCCGGCTCTCAGGTAGCTTGTCGAGGAGGACTACGGACAGCTCCCACTGGCCGCTCTTCTCGCTGGCGCCAATAGCTGCACTGTAGCTGATCCTGTTTGCATGCATGCTTGAAGCCCTCATCTGCCTCAAAACCTGGAATGCCAGGGGCCAGCGCTTGCCCTTCTCGCAAGCGCTGATGCTGGCACTCAGAGTGATGCTATTGGGACGGAGCCCACTCCTAGTTCATGGTTGGGATAGAGTTGAAATTTTAAATCCTACATCCCTTATTGGGTTTAAGCACCCTTAAAAATGTAAAATGTCACCCAACTGTGACAAAGACTCTGTCGGCACTTCTCCACTAAGGCGGCCGAAAGCTGCCATTTGGCGTCCTTGCCACAGGTGCTTACCCCAATGCTGTAGGCAATCTGATCAGGTAGGAGCAAGGCCTGCTGCATCTCTGAAAGGAGCCAAACCTCTACTGAGCTTGGAACCCCAGCAAAAAATGATAAATTGTTGCTGTTCCTTCGGAATTCTAGTACCCAAGAACTCAAAAAAACAATTCCAACTACACCTAAGAAACGCCTTGAAGCCATCCTCCCACTCGCTGGCAGGCGCTGCCGGCGGCGCCATAAGTGATCTGATCCGGCTGGAGCCCTGCGGCAGGCACAGCCGCCCTTATGACCTCAAAGGCGGCCTCCCAGCGCAGCAGCCGGGCGAGGCTCGCGATCTCAAGGTTCTGTTGAAGGAGCCCTTTGCAAGGGCCTTCAAGTCCCATCTGGCCACACACTCCATCGGCCCAGGATGCCTGATGACCCCAACATTGCCCGGGCAAGCAGCGGTTTCACCGGCTCTTCGGTGGCTCCCCTTACACACTCAGCCTCTGGCTTTCTGTTGCCCACACATCGGGATGTCTAGCCGAGGTCAGTGGGACGAACCCTCAAAACCCACCCTAAACCCTAAACCCCTAAACCCTAAACCTTAAGCCCTAACCACTGAGCCCTGCAGCCGTAGAGGTTGCAGCCGCCGGCACAGCCGTGTTCCCAGCCATCTCCATATGCGTGCGCTCCAGCTCTTCCAGCTACTCTCCGGAGCCGAGAGAAGAGTTTAGGGTTTAGGGTTTAGGGTTTAGGGCTTAGGGTTTAGGGTTGAGGGTTGAGGGTTTAGGGTTTAGGGTTTAGGGTCACCGCAAGGGGAACCCCCCAAACTCCACAATAGTCAAAGGGCTGGAGCATGAAATAAGCCCGAGTGCTATATCAGTCTGCGCCCGATGCTCTGAACCCCAAACTGATTCTGCATCATGTGGGAGTGAATGCGTGTGTGCTGGAACGCCTGAATTCACCGCAAGTATGTACGGCCGGCAACGAGAATTTTGAAACAGACCCACAAGTCACCAAAGCTTTCGAACTCTAACTCAACTCACATTGAAGACACGAAAAACTAAACCCTAAACCCTAAGCCCTAAGCCGTACACCCATCCAAAGCTGGCTGACCTGCGTTAACCGCGCGCCGGCAGCGAGCTGCAGCGCCAAAGTTGCAAATACCAGACGCCTTAGGGCTTCAGGCCCTCAACCAAGGACCTGCACCCCGAAGTCCATATTGAACCACACACAACCACACACAACCCACACAACCACAACACAACCACACACAACCACACACAACCACACACAACCACACACAACCACACACAACCACACCAACCACACACAACCCCACCCAACCACACACACCACACACAACCACACACAACCACACACAACCACCAACACCACAACCACCACACACAACCACACACAACCACACACAACCACACACAACCACACACAACCACACACAACCACACACAACCACACACAACCACACACAACCACACACAACCACACACAACCACACACAACCACACACAACCACACACAACCACACACAACCACACACAACCACACACACCCACACACAACCACACACAACCACACACAACCACACACAACCACACACAACCACACACAACCACACACAACCACACACAACCACACACAACCACACACAACCACACACAACCACACACAACCACACACAACCACACACAACCACACACAACCACACACAACCCCACACAACCACACACAACCACACACAACCACACACAACCACACACAACCACACACAACCACACACAACCACACACAACCACACACAACCACACACAACCACACACAACCACACACAACCACACACAACCACACACAACCACACACAACCACACACAACCACCCACAACCACACACAACCACACACAACCACACACAACCACACACAACCACACACAACCACACACAACCACACACAACCACACACAACCCCACACAACCACACACAACCACACACAACCACACACAACCACACACAACCACACACAACCACACACAACCACACACAACCACACACACCCACACACAACCACACACAACCACACACAACCACACACAACCACACACAACCACACACAACCACACACAACCACACACAACCACACACAACCACACACAACCACACACAACCACACACAACCACACACAACCACACACAACCACACACAACCACACACATCCACACACAACCACACACAACCACACACAACCACACACAACCACACACAACCACACACAACCACACACAACCACACACAACCACACACAACCACACACAACCCCACACAACCACACACAACCACACACAACCACACACAACCACACACAACCACACACAACCACACACAACAACCACACACACACCACACAACCACAACACCACACAACCACACAACCACACAACCACACAACCACACACACCACACAACCACCACACACCACACAACCACACAACCACACAACCACACAACCACACAACCACACAACCACACAACCACACAACCACACAACCACACAACCACACAACCACACAACCACACAACCACACAACCACACAACCACACAACCCCACAACCGCACAACCGCACAACCACACAACCGCACAACCGCACAACCGCACAACCGCACAACCGCACAACCGCACAACCGCACAACCGCACAACCGCACAACCGCACAACCACACAACCACACAACCACACAACCACACAAACAAACACACACACACACAACCACACAACCACACAACCACACACAACCACACAACCACACACAACCACACAACCACACACAACCACACAACCCCACACAACCACACAACCCCACACAACCACACAACCACACACAACCACACACAACCACACAACCACACACAACCACACACAACCACACAACCACACACAACCACACAACCACACAAAACCACACAACCACACAAAACCACACAACCACACAAAACCACACAACCACACAACCACACAACCACACAACCACACAACCACACAACCACACAACCACACAACCACACAACCACACAACCACACAACCACACAACCACACAACCACACACCCACACACACACACACACACATACACACACACACACACACACACACCCACACCCACACCCACACCCACACACACACACACACACCAACCACTCTCTGAAAGCCGAAACCCTGAAACCCTAAAACCCTGCAGGCGCTCTGCGAGGCTGCGAGTTGGGTCACCACTGAGTACTTTGCTGGGGCCCTGGCTCCGGTTTCTTCTCAGGGTTTGGGTTTTTTTCTTAGAGTTGAGGGTTTGGGGTTTGGGGTTTGGGGTTTGGGGCTCAAAAGGATTTAGGGGCCGCCTTCGCAGGTGAGCTGGGATGCAAAAAGGGTCAAAGGGGCTTGAGGATTTTTAGGACATATGGGAGGTCGGACTGGGGGCTCCACCAACTGATATCTCAGGTCTTCACCGACACGTATCACATCGTCTCGGGGCCCTCCTACGTCTTGGTAGATGAGGGGGGTGGCGCCCTTAGACATGTGATGGTGGACTGCAAAAGCTTCGGTTGCGGGTTGATTGTTGGGATGTTCCCCCTTTTCTGACAGTCCTTAATAGGGATTATAGCACCCCCGGCCTAGCGATTAAGGACTGCTAGTATAAGGAGGACCATCCCAATTTGTGAGTTCCTTGTGGAGGCTTTGATACAGATCCTACGAGAAAAGGCCTTAGTGGAGAGCATGCCCGGTTAAGTTAAGGTCAAGGGACTAAAGGAGGGACCCTTACAAGGGACCTTAGGGCATATTTAGGGGCTACTTCGGTATATAGGGACGATAGGGACTATATAAGGTACACACACACACACACATATATATATATATATGTGCGACCACTTTTATTACGTTGTAGGAGGTTTCTTGTGGCGGAGATAAAAGCCGACGTTCATGCTCAAAGCCTCGCAAAGCGAGAGGCCCCCCCCCCCCCCCCAAAAGCGATACCCTCAACCTTGAATTTAGAAGTCGTTCTGCAACAATGTCATGATCTCGTGGTTGGGTCTTATTCCAGAGCGATACTCAAACCGATACCCCTACAATACCCATATGGCCACCCGAAGAGCTGGGCAAAAACCCTCGCCCAGGTTGAGGGTTCGAAGTGTAGGATTTGGATTTCTGATTCGAGCAGCGAGAGCTCTAGCTCCTAGAAACGGAGCACTCTCACTCTTTCGTCTACAGATCCTAAAGATCGAAAGGAAACGCGTTTAGGAATTCAGGTGTATTTAGGGGAGGGTTCCAGGTTTAGGATCTCATAAGCGACCTTATGAGCAGTAAAGCGATAGGTTTTCGTAGTAGCATTGAGTCAAAGTCCCCAGAAAGCGATAAGGCCCCCCCCAAAGCGATACCCCACGAATTTTTAACTAGCAGTTGCACAAGATTTTTTGCGGCTGCTCGTATATGTATATATATGTATATGTATATTTATTTATTGATTTATTTTTCTAATTATATTTATTTTAGGGAGGTTATGTGTGGGTTTCTGAGACAGTTGCCACTGCGCCTCCGGATCTTCAGGATTCCCTGTCCTGCCGTACATTCACCGGGACTCCAGCTACTGCCAGGAGCGTGTGGAGCCGCGCGGGAAGCATCTGGGTTTAGGGTTTAGGGTTTAAGGTTTAGGGTTTAGGGTGCATGATGTCGCCTGAACAACCTCGCTCACAGGCAAGCTACCACAGGAGCCCTGAAGCAAAAGGGTTTAGGGTTTAGGGGAGAAGCCGTGGTTGTCGGAGTCATCGAAGCTGAGCCTCGGGTCGCACGTGAATCCCCAACGATCTGGTTGTTGTGTTTTGGGGGCTTACGTTTCAGGATGTTCTGAGTTCCTGCGAGTGCCTGGCTAGAAAGCCTTATACCTGTGAGAAGAATACAGGCAAGAACTCGTGAAGGTTTGCTGTAGCATGAGACGGGACTCTACCTAGGGAGCCCAGTTAAAAAAACATAATGACTTCTTTCAAAGCTGATGTCCCTGCCTGCAGATTTGCGTCCTTGTAGCAAACTGTTTGCTGTAGTAGAGGCCCTTAGTTACCTGTTGGAATCCTCACAAGCCCTCCCCTGATGATGGCCGATCGAAACTTGAAGAGCCGAAGCACAGGTGTGTGAAATCGCTGGATCAAGCAGAGGCGCTGTTTGGCGTTACGTTGAAGCGTGGCCGCAGCACATGAATTCAGCTACGACATGGATAGTTCTCTGAATTATGCTCCCTTTGGCAGGTTCCTGTTTTGAAACGGAGTATATACCTGGAAATGGACCATGCTGCCCAAGTATCTTCGCTGGCTTGTCAAAGGGTGAACGTTGAATCAGCCCCCGGCCCCCGAAACCGAACTATAACACACACGCTGGCGTCACTGACACATCCTCGAGCCTTCAACGGAACTTGCTTGGAGGTTCATGGGCCAGCGCATCAGTGTGTAGGGTTGCATCAGCCTAATGCCTATCTACTCCTATCTACTCTTTCATCTCTGAAAAAGTCTGGAACCCATCAAACTGAAGTCCGAGGAACTACCACCACGTCGGGGCCCGAGTCTATCATTGGGATGAGGGCTTTTATCGGTCGATTGCTGAAACCACCTCACTTCGGTTTCGGCAGTTCCCTATAAACCTAAGCCGACTTAAGAGTATCCGTGCGGCTTCAGTGAGCCGATTTGTGCAGCGTGACAGTTCAACTTTGGGCTGGGGGGAGGGGTGGGCTGGGCTGGCTGGGTAAGACGTAGCTTAGGTGGCCACCCGCCGACTGCATGGTGGTTTGAAGTGGGCAAGCCCCACTTTGGTTCGCGGTATAGGGCTTCGGGTCTGAAGCAAAACAAGGGGGCGGCAAAAGCTGCTTATGTCGAGTGGCCCCAAGTCCGGGCGAAGTGGCAAGCCTGTTGCGAAAAGGGTGTAGGGTTTAGGGCTTAGGGCTTAGGGTTTAGTGTTTAGGTATATTCCCTATTCCCTACCTAGTGTAGTGGCTTCGCAATCTGAAGACCTGATCAGGACCTCTTTGAGACGGTCTTTCTCAAAAATGCCACCCTTGAGTTTTGCAACGCATGGGCCCTCTGGCGTCAAGAAGGGTTTAGGGGTTTAGGGTCTAGGGTTTAGGGTGTAGACTTAAGGGTTTAGGGTTTTAGGCTTAGGGTTTGGGGTTGCCCCGAACACGAAGCCCTGAACAAGCCAATGACAAACAGTGTCAGAAGATAATTGCAGTGACAACGGAAAGTCCCGGACGTACGGATCCCAACTCTAGTGCACCAGGAAAGTTCGGCTTGAGATGCTTTATTTATATACATATGTGAGGTGTTTTTTGGGGATTCACGGGGGGGTCTAACGCTTTTGTTGGACGATAAGTTGCAAGCGAGGTTTCGAGTTCTGGAGTTCGGGTGCAGGGGGTTCGGGAAAAAGCCCTGCTTTCCACGGGGTTCAGGGTTTGGGTTCGCATGTCGCGTTCACATGTTCAGCCGCATGATCGAAACTCATGTTCGAGCTTGCCTTTGCGAATCAATGGGGCAGGGCGCCAACAACCAGTCATAAACTGAGCTTTGCTTTTTGCTTTCACTTCCTTCCTGACTCCGTGCACGCTCGCTCTTCAAACGCCCCCAACAGTCCAAAGTAGTTCTGCTGCAGTTCGATGCCACGCTCAGCCTGCCATCATTCAAGGACAGCCCGCGATTATCAGCAGTTTGCAGGTTGGGGGTTGATTTGCAGCCGAGAATTCATTTTGTGGACTTGTTCTGCCTACGTCCCGGTACTCAGTGGCAAGAAAAAGCCCCCACACTAAACGAGTGGCCTATCCGGACAAGTTTGAGCTTGCCGGGCAGGACTGCGGCTTGCAGTATGGGCCCACGGCCAACGACTACTTTGCCTGGCAGGTTTCAGCACCTTGGCTGAAGCCAGTCTGCTTGCAGGTCCGTGTGTGCAAGTGAGGCGGTAAGTACCGGAAACAAGGTCATCACCATTAATAAGTAGGTGCTAGTTGTGACCCCTTGTAGAGCTGAGCCCTCCATGCTGAGCCCAAAAGAAACTTAGGCCGAAGGTTCAAGGGTTTATATGGCTTCCTGGCTCTCAAGTTTGTTTTGCATCCAAACTTTGACGGGTGTTTGTGCCTTCTTCTTTGCGAAGTTCGGCTGCAACGGCTGTGAGTGGGCTAGCTTGTAACCCTAGAGTTTCTGGTTCAGGTGCACTTTTCCTCTTTGACTTGTGGCTACTGTGCCCGTAAACCTCCAAGGGCCCTAAGTGATGTGGCTGTCCAGGTTCAGCTGCCAGTGAACTACGTTCCGAAGGACCGGGCTTGAGGTTAACCCGGGGTGTAGGGTACTGTAGGGTGTTCAGACGGAGGCCCTGGATTTAGGAGCTCTCGGAAGCCGCGGTGGGGCAGTTTCGGGGTTAGAAGTGGTTTTGGCTGATGCCGACGACTTATAGGGAGCAGGGGGGCGGGGGCCTTCGTACTTCTCGTAGGTACAGGGTTTTAGATCACCTGCTTATACCTGCTTGCTAAGTGGATGACGCCCTCAGGACAAGGAGCGTGTTGGCTTCAGACCGTTCTCCAGACTCTGGCGGCCACACCCAATCGACCCGAGAAACTGCTCTGCGCCTCGGGCTGACAGCGGATGCTGGGGCTCCTCATTCGGGTCTTCCCAAGTTTGTGCAGCCGGGTACATGCTGGTCATCTGTTGGTGCTCCAGCAACTCCCCAAACTCTCCGAGCAGTAACCCTAAACCCTAGAACCCTAGACCCTAAACCCTCGAATCCTAGAACCCCAGAAACAATAAGCCCCAAACCCCGTGAGGTTTACACGGAGACGGAGTACGACTTCGTCCTGGGCAACATTTCAGAGTGCTCCACATTAGGAGACAATCTGGACGATTGCCAGGCCAGGCTCTTGCTTCGGCTCACAAGGGTTTGGGGTTTAGGGTTTAGGGTTTAGGGTTGCTCAAAAAAAGGGGTTTTAGGTTGGTTAAAACCCTTTTAGGGTTTTAGGGTTTTAGGGTTTGAGTTTTCAGGGTTTAGGGTTCAGGGCAAGTAATCTGGCAGCACCCACAGGAGTCCGGATGCAAAAGGGCAAGTAATTGTAGCAACTCTAATGCCAGGTAGGCCCGTGGGACATCTTATGTGTTTCAGAGGGTTTCAAGGGCCATCCCAAAATCTCATATTGGTGACTTCGCTGACCTCCAAATGAGGGTTTCTTCTGGGCTCAAACTTTTCACGGCGGCCGACCCAAGCAGGGAGCACAAGTTTGAGGATTACCCATAGTATGATGCAATACTAGAACAAGACGCAGGAGGCAGCGAGAGCCGAACACAGCAAGCGATGCAGCAGCATTCAAACGCAGGTTTCTGGAGAGGTTTTGGTGGAGGCTTTGCACACTACCTTAAGCCCCAAAGAAAGACCCTAACAAACCCTACCCCCTGGTTCTTAGTAGGGAATGGGGGGCATGGGGTACGCTACATAACCCCCCAAAGGGCATGTATAAGGGGGATATAGGGTACCTCATTCCCTCATCCCCTGCAGAGAAAGCTCCACGTGAAGGCATCTCAAAACTGCACCTTCCGGCCGCTCTTCTCCTCGGGCAGCTGCGTGCCCATACCGAGGCTCAATGTGCGTTGTGGGGTTTAGGGTTTAGGGTTAGAGTTTAGGGTCTAGGGTCTAGGGTTTAGGGTTTAGAGGGGCTAGGTTTAGGGCTTCAATGCCGAAACAAGCCTGGCGGAGTCCTCAGTGTTATCTGGCAACAAGCCGAAATCCTAAGCAGCCTGCCCGAACCCTAAGCTTAAAACCCTAAACCCCACCCCGCTTCGAGATCCAGCTTGGGGTTCCGTGGCTAGGTGGGCCCTTGACACATTTTTCATTTTCACTTCTTGGGTTTCAGAGGATCATACTCATGAATATTTTTCAGGGGGTTCTAAGGGCCATCCTAGGTGAGGAGGGGCTTCACAGTTCTTGCAGGAGCATTTCCGGATGATCGCTTTCGCCTGGCCATTGCATTGTTGCCTTTGCCCCGTTTCTTTACAGACTAGATCCCTGCAGTAAGTCTTGTTGGGATAGAGAGTATGTTTCTTGACAGGTTGCAGTAAGTTGCCCTCCCCCTCAAATGGACCAACCTCGACGACGGTTGAAATTCTAGTTTTTTCCTGTTAATTGCTGGATAGGGGTGGCCTAACTCCACTTGGAGATTCAGGGTACTTATAGCACCCTTTACAATCGCGCTTGCAAGCTCCCGAAGTCCCCTGAGTAGGTTATCTAAGTAGACTTCTAATTTGGGTCAGAAGTACCCATTGAACCTCCTAGAAAAAACTTCTTTCCTCAGAAGCATCCTCAGAAGCACTCAATCTCAGGGTAGTTAACCTCCGTTAACGGGTTCTGATGTACGGGCCCTTGGGTTGTAGAGGGTATATAAGGGGTGCACAAGGGCTCCTCTTTTATAAGGGACAATGTAACTACCCTAAGACTCAAAAGTAGCAAGGCCTCTTCTATCCCGGGATTCAGGTTCGAGCCGTCCTGGATTCTGCCGGCAGCATTCGGCTGCCGGGCTCGAAGGAGGAGTAGGGTTTAGGGTTGAGGGTTTAGGGTTTAGGGTTTATAGGGCGGAGACCCTAGTTTTCAGAGCCCCGAAAGCTTTGAACATCTCGCATCCGCCCCGAGAGCCACACTCTGCATGCCTTGGGGTGTAATCTTCCAAGTCCTGAACCTCTGAAGCTGAATCCGAGCTGTAGGGTTTGGGCTCAAAAGTGTTTAGGGTTTCAGGGTTTGGGGTTTAGGGGCTTTTGGGTTTAGGTTTACAGGCCGGGCGACTCCCAAAATCCGTTGCAAAAGGGTTTAGGGTTGTGCCTGGCCTCATGTGTTCCCTACTTCTATACATACCCAGATATCTTCAGGTAGCACCTTCGGTGTTTCGGTTGACCCGAGCTCTCTCGCAGATGAGGTAGCACGACGATTACGAACACCAGCTCCACGACCACCACTGCCACCGCCTCCTCGACCTCAGCCTCCTGCCTGTATGCCCGGAAAAAGCACAGAAGCAAAAAATCGGATAGGGATATCCCCATAGAAGTCCCCGGATAATGAAGCTCAATAAGGTAAGATATCCTGATAAAAAGCTTATGCCCTCTAGCTTGAGTCAGTTTGGTTCTGGGCCTGGGTTCAGGGCTGGGGTGAAACTTCGGATGTTCCCCCTTTTACTAGCAGTCCTTTGTAAGGATTATTGTGCCCCTAGTATACTCCTATTAAGAGCTGTTAGTATAAGGGGGAACATCCCAAGGTGAAACCTCAAAACCTGTTGACCCACAAAGGGCGCAAGACGAAGCTTCCCAAGTTCTGGGTCAGGTCGTGTTCCTTGAAAATGGGGAAGTGAGGCACACAGTCGGTGAATAGTTTGTCCAGGGGGACAAGCATATGGGCAGTTGTCAAACGCAGACAAAATTGTTAAAGCTTAAACCCTAAACCCTAAACTCTAAACCCTAAACTCTAAACCCAAGTTTAGCGGAAGTGCCAACATGGCTGTGACAAGCAGACTCGCCCCAATCCGGGTTTTCTATAACCCGCCGGAGGGCTGTGGGTTTTTTTCTCAAACCCTCTTTTGCTGAGGGTTTGGGTTTGGGGTAGGGCAGTTTGGTTCGGCTTGCTTCAGCTGGCCAGCTGGCCCTTGGTTTTGGAGCGCTGTTCCAAAATCCTTCAACTCTAAACCAGTAGCAAGCCATACCCTATAGAATTAGCACCAACGTGTAGGTACGTGGAGCACCAGGTAAACCCCTCTAAGCCCATATACCTCCCGAGACGCTTGCACCACATTGCAGTATCCTGGCCTTTGAAAACCCCTCCCCACCCCCACACCAAAAGGGGCAGGGTCTAAGCCTAAGCCACTAGGTAGTAATAATGCATCAGGCAACATCCACCTCTATCAGCACCTCGATCTCTTCCACGCAGGGGCCTGAGATGATCTTTATTGTAAGGAACCCATGGGGGTGCAAGGAGGCCATATTCCCTTATTTGGGGAATATGGGGCCCTTACACCCCCTTCGCTTCCACCCCTTGGTTTCTTGTGCCGATGAGGGTGTAGGGAATCTGGCGTCGGGCCAGGCTCACAGTGAGGTTAAGTTTGGGGTTTGGTGTTGTGTGTGTGTGTGTTTTGGTAGTCTGGTGTTGTATGGTTTTAGGGACTCCTGAGCACGATGCAGCATTCAGCCCTGAGCCATATCGACTGAAGGTCTTCGTCCTCCACGGCAAGCTCAACTACAACTGCATCCGTCACAAGAAGCTCAACTTCAACTTCCTCCAGCACGACCTCAGCCAGCACAACTTTCTCCAGCACAACTTCCGCCACATCTAGCATTACAAGCATCACGAGCCTTGGATCAGGGTAGCTGCTGTGACCCTATGTGACCTACCTATAATCCTGCGCATCACTGCCTCCAAGTAATCTCGCCAAGAAAGGTGGGACAAAGTCTTTGCTTCCTTGCGGATTCTTCGCGATCGTCCTGTGACAGTCAAAGTAAATCCACGCCTAAACCCCAAACCCTAAACCTTGCAACTCAGTCGCGCCAAGGATCACCGGAACCACGCAGACGCAGACGACGACAACGGTCACCTACACCGAAGCTTGGCCAAGTCAGTCATTGGTCCTACATATATATATATATATATATGTGTGTGTGTGTGTGTATGTATGCATATGTTTTTTGTCGTTTATTTGCGTATCTTTATTTATTAATTTCTTCTTCCCCAGCAGCCGAGTCAAGGGCATCAGGGTTTAGAGAGTTGAGTTGAGGTGCTTCGAAGCCGCGTGGCCCTAAAAGTACCCGTCCCCACCCCGATGAGCCCCAGGTGCTTCCAGGGAGTTGCCCTGCACCGGTTCTATCGGCCACGGCAGACATCACGGCCAGGGAGGGTTTGCGGGTTTGGGGGGTTTCAGGGTAGGTACAGGGTTTAGGGTTTCGGGTTTAGGGTTTAGGGTTTAGTGTGCTCTTGGTGGCCTCCGCTCCCCCACCTGCAGAGAGCACTGTGGTGTCAACAGACTCGCCACAGTTATCTCATACCTGGTCTTCTAAGCCCACTGGTAACTACCCATGAACCGTCAAGCAGACCCCAAACCCTGAACACTGAACCCTAAACTTCGCCCGCGTTTCGCCAGCGTGAGAGTCGAAAACCCTAAGCCCAATGCCCTAAACCCTCAGCCTTGAACCCTAAACCCCAAACCCTAAACCCTAAGCCCTAAGCCCTAAACCCTAAACCCAATGCGTGAACGTGCAATGTTAGTTGTAGTTGATGGAGTTGAAACGGGCTCTGCAACTCAAGGGAGGGTGGAGCAACGAAGAACTTCCTCTCCACGGTGTCACCACAGACATGAACCTACCAACCGATGCCTTGCCGGCCGTGTGCGAGTGTGAGAGTCGAAACCCTAAACCCTAAACCCTAAAGCCTAAATCCTAAACCCTAAACCCTAAACCCTAAACCCTAAACCCTAAATGCGAGTCCTCAGCAATGGAAGGCTTGCCTTGGCCTCTTCCCGGGAGACAGCTGCGTCGTCTCCTGCAGCTTGGCGACATTTGGGCTTCCTGTATCTTGAGGGTTTAGGGTTAGGGGCTAGGGGTTACATAACATTAAGAGGCTAAACCCTAACGCCTAGGTCCCGAACCCTCAATCCAAGAACCCTAAAGCCCTGGGGCTTGAACACTAAACCCTAAATCCAGGATTCCTCAAATGCCAGGTCCCGAAACCGACATCTTGGACCCTAAATCCGATGCTCCCTTCAACCCCAAATTGAATCCCAAACCCTCAAAGCAGCCGACGGCTGGGGCCACTAAGGTTTATGCACGTAGCAAAGAGAGGTTCAGGGTCAAGCTCGGATGCAAAAAGGGTGTCGGGCTTAGGGCTCAGGAGCCGGTGCACAAAGGGCTTAACATGAGGGCACGGGAGGTAGTGGCGGAAGAATGGGGCTTATCGGGGCATCGAGAGGCCGCCAATACAGTCGCTAGCAAGGGAAAATTCCCTGCGACTCTCCCTGACACCGCCAGTGCAGACCGATAACGGATAGCAGGGTACAGGCCTTGCGTTTGGGGACCTTGGTTGGGACAGTTTTGGAATTGCAGCGCGTGGGATTGCACGGAGTTTTCTGTGAGGGGTATGCCAGTACCCTCGTACTTCGTCGGGTTAGAGGCTCTGGGAAGCCCTGAGGCTAAACCTGCTCCGAAGCCGGTGTTTCGTGTGTATAGGGTTTTGGCAACGGAGCGCCATCCAGCCCCCATTTTAGAGCGCACATGGTACGCAAGCATCTAACCCCTAACCCTTGACTAGACCTCCCAAGATCAAGATCCCTTCGCCAGTCCAGCAAGTCCTGAAGCCCCCAAGCCCAACTAAATCGCAGCCAACTTGTGTCTCTGTGACGCTCGTTTACCAAGGAACTAAACTATGTATAGTTTAGATTTGCAACGTCACCTAGGACCGCATAGGAGGTAGGACTCGTCTTGCATCCACAGACTTAAGCACTTGCGGTTAGAGGGGGTCAAGTCTGGTCTGTAATCGGTTGTGGTGTACTTAGAAACTGTAGGATACAGGGTCATACTGCAAAGACCGCCTGCGATCTCAGGCGCTTTCGGCTACACGGGACAGCCGGAAGTCTACACCTGCACGCAGAGCAACCTTGCACCATCGATAGCTTGTGGTTGAATTATCAGGGCGAGCACCCCCCCCCCCGGCCCCGCCCCCCCCCGGCCTAATTACCATTTTTTTCGCATTCAGGAGCTTGATGAAGTGAGGGGATCCTGTGAGATGAGATACGGTCAGGAGGAGGTGGAGCCTTCATGAGAGTGCATGAGGCTGGCCTTCAGGCCACCTTGTTCGGTTGAGGGTTCAAGGGCTCAGGGTTCAGAACCTCGGCATCGCTGTGTCCAGCCCTAGGCCCTAGGGCCCTAAACCCTAAACCCGCTTCAACAGGTCAGGGTTTTTGGGCGGTCTCGAGACCCGAAGCCAGCTCGACCCGTGTGCGCTCCAAGCCTTGACTGCAGCACCCATTCTAGGTGAAGTCTTCTCTGGAAATCCGCCAACTTGCGTGGCCACCACAACCACAGCAACTGAGCCGCCGCAGTTCAGGGCTCTTGGTTCAAACCTTCAAGGCTTTGGGGTTTAGGAGGTGTTGGGTCCAGGTTGAGCTTAACGGTTGCGTGTCCTGGGCGTGTTTTTGCTTCAGGGGTAGAGTGGTTGAGGAGGAGAACATGATCATGATGATGATGATGATGATGATGATGATGAGGATGCTGATGATGATGGCCGCAGGTGTGTCAAGTAAGGGGAGATAGGTCTTCCAACACGAAAGCTAACACTAATGCCATCATACTCAATCATTAAATCCGACACAATGACCAACTAACCACAACAAACATCTCACGTTTCACAAACAGCATTTTTCATTTCATGCTGTTCAATTAGTTTACCAAATTCACATGGTTTCAAAACAATAGTTGGATTGTGTATGTGTTTCCAAACATGTCTGTCTCATTTCCATATTTGGAATTCAGGAACTGTGTTTCTGAATGGTAGCGTATTAAATAGGTTGACTTGGTTTGAGTAGTCTCCGGACTGTTTGAAAACAAATGCTCGAAACAATGAACTTTGCTCTCTGCTTTTGCCAATCGGTGCTATATGTTGAGGAAAAGCCCTGTTCATAATCGTAAACATAGTACGGAATCATGAAAGCAAATATGAGATTTGCAGAATGGAAGCAATTTAACGAGATACATTTATTGGCTTTGAACTAACATGCGAATTGCAAACCAGTATTGCAACCATGCGTCAAAAAAAACTAGAATGCTTTGTGTATCATCAAGGTTTGCTTCTGTTGGATGATTACTTGATCTTGATTGGCTAGTAGCGGCCTTGAAGCATGATGGCACGTGATGAAGTTGTTTCTGCTTTGCGGAAGCAAATTCTCCCATGCTAATCAGAAAAACAGGGTAAATTCTACTAAAGCAGTCTTGCTCTTAAGGTTTGTGTAGTAGAATACATGTGTTTTTTATCAATGCATATGTATGTGTGAGTGTAGAATGGCATCAACTCCCTCCCCCAAATCGGGCTTTGGAACTTGAAACAAGCACAATACAGGCAAGATAAAGAATTTCAAGCGACATTCTGGCACACACTATCGAACCCACCCAACTGGTGCGCCTCGACCTTTTATATGGCTACAGCCAGCTTCAGTATTGCACACATTTCTATGATTGCGGTTATTACGCTTTTGATCATGGCATTAACTACTTATTACGATTGTTGTTATTACTATTGCTGCAATCCTGCGTTTCTTTTTGCTTATTCAGGTTATTACGTTTATGACATTCAGTACTACTGCGATGACGGCTGCTTCTACTAGAGTTGTCATGATGATTCTTGGGGTTCCTCCGGGTGTTTGCAAAAACAGTTATGCCAGGAGCAGCCAAAACAACAACAAATGCAGATTAGGACGGCACACGCCTAGCACCAGGACATGGACAGACGTTAAAACCCTAGACCCTAATGTGGAAAAACTACTTGGTCACGATCACAATTCAACTTCTTGAAGCCTGTGCCTAAAGTTCGCCAGAAAGGTGCCCTAAAGTACCTGGAGAGTCGAGACCTCTGTGCAAGTCACGGCACCCAGCTTCGTGAAATCCACGCAAAACTTTCCTGCAAACGACTTCAGATCGACCCTGCAGGGGTTTCATAGTGCGGCAACTTCAAGGCCCACTCCCCCTGTACCCCATCAATGCGTTTTCTGTGTTGCATTTGTTTTCGGGTCGGTGACTGGTGAGCCCGGGACAAGCCTCAACCCTAAAGTCCTAAAGTGTTCAGACATCTGGCGGCCCCAGGCTACGCTCACGACCACCCTCACCATCCTGGTCTTGTGCGAAGCGGAGCCTGAGCTTGCAGCTGAAGTTGTGGGTTACGAGGGCCTGAGGCTTTGAAATGCAGAGTGCCAATGGAGGAGGCACGTGAATTTGGCCATAGGCTGTCACGGGTTGTCAGGGTTGGGGTCAAAGCGTCTCTGCCTTCATCGACGGATGTTGCTCGGGCCTAGGGTGAAGGGTCCAGCCGAGACCCTCAGCCTTGAAATCCTGAGCGCTGTGCCTAGGTTCGGCCCCTTCCACTGTTAAACAACCCAGCCCATCACATGGTCCCTCTCAGGGCATCCCAACCGGCCTGGGCGTGGACTCCGCCAGTTGCGTTGGGTTGCAACCTGGCAGCTTAGGGTGTCGGCTTGGCGTTTAGGGCAGCTTGGCTTTCGGAGCCTAGGAAAGGTGCTGAGGCCAACAGACCGGAAAGATGAAGCCGCACGCATCACTCCGGCGCGCTCCAGATCTGAACCCTCGACGGCTCGACCCTTCGCCCTTAGCTCGACCCGTACCGACGTCAAATCTCGAAAAATCTCGTTCTTGCATCCGGGCCACAGTTCCAAAGCCCTATAAACCCCAAGCCCCGCAGTCCTTGCGCAGCAAGGTACAACGGCGAGACATGCACCGCCGGCTGCGTGGCACCCTTTGAGGGTGGCCCGGTGAACCTGACCTGTGCCTTGGGCTGTCTTTATACCTGATCGCCCAACATCCGTAGTCTGTGCACTGGTAGATCTGTCGGTGATTACTAAGTTGCACGTGGTTGAAAGCATGCGGGTTACGTACACTTTTAATTGCTTTTCAAGCAGTTGCCAATGGTGGTGTTTGCCTTCCCAGCCTGCGTGGACTTTAAGGCGTAGTCGGGTAAATCATTTCTAAGGGTACTTAAACTCAATAAGGAATATAGTTTTTTGATACTTTCCCAGCCATGAACTAGTTCATGGTTTTGGGATATCTATATATCCCCATACCTACATCGAGACGCTCATGTCCTGCCCAGGGAGACTTGTGTGATTTGCTTTGTAGAAGGCCCAAGCCCAGGAAAGAACACCCGCTTGCTAGATATGTGCACGTTGCTAACTTGCATCTGCATAATGTGTTGGCATTTCTTTGATTTTTGTGTTTCTTTAAATCTTTCTGTCATTCTTTCTCTCTCTCTCTTTTTTTTTTTCTCTCTCTCTCTCTCGTTCTCTCTTTCTCGCTGTCTTTTTCCTTTCTGTCTTTTCACTTGCTTGTCTGTCTCTTGCTTTGCACAATCGGTCAGGGTCAAGACGTCTCCCTGCAAGCCCAGGCAATCCGCTTTCTGCGCAGTTGGAGGGCCCTTTGCTGGAGTGCAAGGAGAAGATGTGCGAGGCCCATGGCAGGATGAAGATCTGCCCGCGGAATTTGTTCCCAAGTCTCGGCCCATGTCCCTGAGTCCCTGAAGTACTTAGATGTGCTTAGATGAGTTCCAGGGTTGGGGCAAGGTTTGGGGAAATGAGGGGCAGGTTACGCTTAAGGGTCATCTCTGATCATCTACATCCGATTCGAGAGAAAGGCGACCAAAGCCCAGAATGTCCAAAAGCGCTTTGCAAAATGTCTCAGGACTATGAAACACTAAACTAGGATGTCGAGCAGTGCCCCTGTAACCGCCCCCTCCCCTAAGCAACAAGAGAGCACCCTTTTGATTCCTAGGTTATTGGGTAGCCGGGTAAACCCCAATCCCGGGAGGTTGCACAGCTTCCATCGAACTACAGCACTGCTGGCTGCGCAACGGAGACTGCACTTTCGGGAGTGTTGATGCTGATGGGCTTATGGGTTTTGAGGAGCCCCGCAAGCTGCACAACTTTAAGTCGCAGCATTGGCAGCGTGCTGAGGGCTCAAGAAGAAAGAGTTCAATTTGACGCGCTTCGGCCCCTCCAAAAAAGTTCATCTATGCCCTTGGTAGATCCTGGCTCTCCAGCGCAGCCGCATCGGCTGAGAGGGACATGAAGGTGTGGAAGCCTAAAGGTACCGGTTTAGGGTTTAGGGTCTGTATAGGAATCACTTGTTCAATGAAAGGGTGGCGCTTCTATTTCTCCCGTGCCGTTGCGTTGTTTCTTTCCAAGGCAGAGAGGAAGGTGGGCGAGTACTGCTACTTGGCTGCACCCCCACACCCTGGCACATCAAGTGCCTCAAGAAGCATTCATATCCGATTTGTTTGCAAAAGCACAGTAGTTACATTGGAGGGGCGGGCACTGTCGGTCCTGAATATTCCAGCCTCGGTGTGGCAGGGGGTCTTCGACCAAACTCCGCTTTTCTTCTTACCGAGTCTGCTGCTCTCCTCACCCCGGCACTGCCTGTTTAGGGTTTAGGGTTTCGGGTTTAGGGTTTAGGGTTTAGGGTTGCAGAGTATCCCTTGCTCATCCCGAGAGTCCCGCAGCGAAGGGTGGCAGAGTATTCCTGGCACAGTTGCGAGATGCTTACGTTCAGGATGGGGATGTTCCTAGTAAATACTTCGGTGTCAGATAGGCTGACCTGAAAACGAGAACAGAGACCTCTCCTAAGCCTGAGACCTTTTCAACCTGATGAAACAGCGGCATTTTCCGAACACCCGGCCTCCCAGTTGCAGCAGGAAGGGAGGGCTACAAGTACTCGAAATAAAGTTGTAACCCGGTCATCTTGTGGTTAACCTTCACCGTGGCTATAGCTACCCATGCACCTCCAAGTGAGGTGAAGACGTGCGTTTGGGCGACGTCCCAGGGAAGTAATTAGCGAACTGGCAAACAATAGCAGAAACGAAAAAAGTGGTGAACAGCAGCGAAGCTAAAAAGGACAAGAGTAGCGAGCGGGGCTCGCCCGCTAAATGTTCAGGATGTTTCAGGATGTACCCAAGTTCAAGAAGCCCTGAATCCCCCAAACTCGTAGCTACACCCCCCCCCCCCCCCCGTCTCCTTTTTCCAACCTCAACGGCAAAAAGCTCGGTGCCAACGTAAAGCAGAGAACAACTCTATCTTGAATACACCTTGGTGGTGGCGCGCTGCGTTTTCCAGCTGAAGCGTGCGACGCCTATTCTTCCACGCTCGGCGCAACGTTCTTGCAGGAAAGCGCCTATAGGGTCGACCAGCCTGCTCATGAGCGCCATGTATGTCATGCTCTATTTCATGATCTATCTCAGGTACTGTGGCATGCCCTGCAGGCTACACGGGTCAGGACTGGCAGCTTGGCATCGGGTAGAGCACCCATGCTTCAGTTGTGCTGCCACCACGAGGCCCAACTGAGCAGCATGCTAGCTGCTAGGCCGCTTCACGTTTGCACGCTCGCCATGTACACTGCAAACGTCGAAGCTGCAACGTCTTGTCATGGTAGCAAAACATGTCTTCGCTGCAGACCTGCACCCGGACTACCATTGTGTTGCGAGACATTCTTGGGACGTGCAGGACGCACTGTTCGAGTGTCAGGCGCAGCTCTCGGAGCACTGGGGTCTCTCTCGCTCTCTGTCTCTCTTTCTCCCTCGAACTGATAGCATGAGCTCATGCATGCAGATCTGTTGCGGGGCCTTGCCATGATGAGCAATGCATGTAATTACGTATCTTGTAGGTGCGACCGTAACACATCTCTTCAGTCATTCGGCCACGGGGGTTCGCTTCTTGAGAGCTGGAAGGGGTGCCAGGAGTCTCTCAACAGCATCCAAAGTCCCCAGCTCCATTCAGCAGCTAAGAATTAGGGTTTTGGTGTTTCAAACAGAAGTGCCTAGGGTACACCACCTTCAGTTCGCGATGCTCAACAGAGACGTGGAATTCGACTCCCCCATGCCCACAGCCTCCATTCGCGGGCATGACGGCTAGGGAAGTCGCGAATACAGGTCAGGCTACCTGCATACACAACAGAAGCTGGAACGGGTGTTGGACTCCAAGTTTGAAGCTCCTTAAGCTGGCTTGTGATCGCTGCCATGCTATAGCGCTAGTCCTTACAGGATTCAGGGTCCATCCTACGTCGCGACACTTTACCTGCGTCAGATGCATCCTTGCTGGAAACATGGCGATGCGACACATCACCTGTAGGCGTCTCCATCGAAGCTGATGCAAGCGATTGTCCTTCCCTCCAGGCAGATGGCACGTTCGGCGGCAGTCTCCCAGCCTGCCAGCGAACACCTTGCATGCCAGGCACCTTCAGAATTCCTGGGCAGCATGAAACAGTTAAACAGACAGGCGCAGGGGTCCCCCTTACATCCCCAAACCAAGACCTCCCACATATCCAAACCTTGCTGGAACAATTCTTCAGACTGCCCATGAACCTTACATGCAACCCTGCGCCGAGAATGTACCCCGAGCCGAACATGGTGTTGTCCCGGTCAGGGGGCTTGCCTGTGTTGCCTGGGCTGAACGTCAGCAGCTGCATGTATCTCTACGCAGGCCAAGGGCTCCGGGGCGTTTTCTGCAGGCTGTGAGACAGGAGCTCCGGGTTCGCTAAGTAAGGCCGATACCCGGAAACCATGAAGACACTTCCCTAAGCTATGATACCTTTTCTGGGTCCCCTACGCACTCTCTTACAAAGGACGGCAAAAAAGGACCCTAATTTAGGTGAGTTCATTGAGCTTTCTTTTCACGCGCCTCAGGGTATTATATTTTTTTTTGGCGGGGGGCTCTTCCTGAACCATGGCCTGACCTCTGAGCCTTTCAACCTCCGGAACACCAAAATGGTCAAAACCTTGCAGGCAGCAATATCGAAAATACAAGAAAATAGATAGTATGCATATAATATATATATATATATATGTATGTATGTATATCCAGAGCCTTGCAAGCCCATTGCAAATCCTGCTCTTTCCAGAGCAGACAAAAAGTCCTCGCCAGGTGAGGCATGCACCGTCACCTGTGCCCTGGGCTACGAAGGCACTGCGTCCACTTACCAATGCGACTTGGGACAAGCAAGGAACACAGCAGGGGGTGGCTCTATGGCGAGGTTCGGCTGTGCCTGCTTTTTGTAAAAATTCGCATCGAGGAACCCTAAACCCCAAACCCTAAACCCTAAACCCTCCGAGCTATGCCTTGCATTCCTGCTTTCGGGGCGTTGTGCCCACGAACCTTCGGCCCAAGCTTCCAAAGGCGACATGGCGGGGGACTTTGCCGGGACAGCGCCAACCTGCAGTCCCAAGAGCCGCTTGGCTTGGGGCGTCGGCTTTGGGTTAAGGCCCCAAGAATTCAAATACCTGCTATAGTGGGACTTTGGGGTTAAGGAGGTGTTTCCGTTGCCTATGAGGAAGCAGGGAGCTGGCGCCGTTCCTGCACCTCAGGTTGCGATGTCCCAGCCGAGTTCTTCACGAGCGTGAGGTACAACACCACTTGCCGCCCGCCATGAGAAGCCAGGCCCTGCACTTTGAGGTTTAGGGTTCAGGGTTAGGGTTTTTTGGGCTTTTAGGATGTAGGATTTAGGGTATTTAGGGTTTATTTCGGGTTGCGGGCAGGCGCATGGGTTAAGGAGGCCCTCAAATGGATCAGGCCACCAATGATGGTTCCTTTTTTGTTGTTGGGGGGAATTAGGAGTTAGGCTTGATGGCGCCACCAGGGCTTTCGAGTTACTGAGTTTACTGCGCTCCACCGGAGGTTTTGAGCTACTGAGTCGCTGCCTTGGGGCCTCACCCAGAAGAAACAATAAATCTGTTAAGATTCGAACCTTTCCTGGAGGGCTGCTGTCAAGCAACCAAAATAATTACAATCTAGCATAAGACGGTTGTCCTACTATTGTATTCAGAACAACATCCATGCACTCGCAGACGCAAGCATTACGGCATGCAGGTTTGAAGGGCCCCCCATCCAGCTTCACGCCCAGGTGCGGGTGTAACTCATGGGCAGAGCTGCATGACCAAATGCAACCAAGGCAGGGGGGAGGATTTAGTTGACAGGGCTTAACCGTTAAGCAAGTAGGTGAGTCCATGGGAGGGGGCTTATTCGGCTTTTGGTGAGGGAGGTTTCGGTTGAGACACCTGATACCCGGCCCAGGGTAAGGTGTGGTGTGCGGCTTCGGCTTGGGGCATGATGGGGCTTTAAGCCCTTCAGCGATCCCCAGCTCCGCAAAAAAAGGCCTGGCAAAATGACCCCACATGTCCCAAAACCCTCAACGCCTAAGCCCCACCTTCACCACAAGGTGCATCCACTCATGGCCTTTGTAACCCTAAAGCATCAAGGGTGGGTAAGTTTTTTGCGGTTTAGGGTCTAGCCTGCACTCTAATAAAAAACCCCCAAGCCCCCCTCCTCCTCCTCCTCCTCCTGACAGGCTATTCCGGCCTACCCACGCAGCAGCAGTGCTTCAATGGGATCTTCAGCGGCACCACGCCCACTTGCGCAGGGAACCCGTGCTCCTTTGAAGGCCACAGCGGTGCTGGACGTGAGTGGGGGTTGCTGGACACTGGGGTTCCTAAACCCTGAACCCTGAACCCTAAACCCCAAACTCTAAACTCTAAACCCTATAAACCCTAAACCCTAAAGGCTATGGATGGGTTCCTAAACCGTGAACCCTAAACCCCAAACCCCCTATCAGTTAGGCATCTCTCAGGTGTGTCACGCTTTGGTGCGTCGTTCAGAGTCATGCGGGCAGTTGTCCAATTATGATTCTCTATGTATTTATATGTATTTATGGTTCCAGATTCTTTAAAGAAACCCTTGAATCGGGACCGCAACTCGGAGACCTGAGGGGTTTAGGGTTTAGGGCGGGCCTTTGGCTCGCACGCATTTTGCCAAGAGCTATGTAGGTCTGCAGGACAAGAGCAGTGGTTTGTGGACATTACACTGTAAGGCCCGAACCAACCCGAGCCTCGCCAGAGTCTCACGAGGCTCCTTTAGCGCAGTGCTGTAAACGCTGCCGCTCTCTCAAACTGCAAGTACCAGCCCCCTGCCCCTCCCGCAAAAACTACAAATATGAGGCGGTGACCGCTTATAGCTATAGTTTCCGCACTTTATCTGTCCCTATATATGCCCTCTGCCTTGTGGGAGCGGAAGCGTCGGAATCCCGACGCCGAAGCATACCGAACCATCACTACTGATCCCTGAACTGAAGGGCCTTCATGGGGTGGTTGCGGGGAGGGTTTAGGGTTCAAGGTTTAGGGTTTATAAGGGTTTAGGGTTAGGGGACTCATCCTTGTTTGGTTTTGTTTGCTCCTCAATAGGGGTTTCTGCACCCCTGTCCCCTCACCCCTCCCGAGGTGAACTCCAAACCCTATAAAGCCCTGCCACAACCTGATCCCCATCTTTCTCGGAAGGTTTCGCATTGGGCAAGGGTGTCAATGCCTCGACCTGTTTCGGACTTGTGACACAAGAGACGTGGCTGATCTAGGCTTCAGGTTTTTGATTTTGGGGGTTAGGCTTCTGGGAGTTGACGCACTGCTGCTGCGGCGTATGTTGAGGTTTAGTTCTTGGACCCGTGCAGGGTTTAGGTTGGTGCCTGAATCACTGAATTAGTGAGCTTCGAGTCGCGTCCCAGCAACGTCTCGATCTTCTCGTGCTGCAAGCACCGCGGAGTAGCCGCAGGCAGTGGCTGCCCACACTCAGCTGAGGAGACGTGCACGCTCAGCTGCTTGCGCGGTCACACGATTGAAGGCCTTGGGTGTTGATGATTTACAGTTGTTAAGATTTGGAGGGCTTTTAGGGCCGGAGGGCTTAGTGTGTGTGTGTGGTGCACGCATCACTTTTTTTCAGGCTCTTTCAGGCAGACGGGCTCAAATGGTTCACTGTATCCTCTTTTTCTTCAATTTTTGGGGGCTACTTCAGGTTCAAGGCACGCAGGGTTGCATTGCAAAAGTGCTTAGAGCTGCTGCCACGGAGATATTCCGGATGCCTATAAACTCCAAGTTGCGAGAGTTGGGAGGGCAACTTCCCTCGTCTTGAGCCGTGATACCGTGTATCTCCACTATGTATGTATATGTATATATGCATGTATATATATATATATGTATATACGTAGATGACGAAGATGTTATGTTATGCAATCTGCAATTTTCTATGAACACGTGCAGTACTTAGTCAAGTCACCCTGCTTACCCGACCAGATTTTTTCGAATCCTGACAGAGCACGTAACTTACACAGTTTTCCGCCCGGTACCTATGAGACCTCTGGTGGCTTCTGTAGGATTGGGCCTTGCGATGGGGCCTACTAGGGTTGGGAGGGAATCCTACTGCAAATCATTCATGTGCAGGTAACAGCTTGACCTTGACGTGCCAAGCCAGCGGTGAGTTCACAGCCACCGATGCCGTCTGTGTGCCCCAAGCCGCAGCTACTTCTAATGTTTCTTGGGACGTATACCGGAAGCGAGCGTAAAGGGCATGTGTAGAAAGGGCGCAGGAGAAGACGGGTTTTGTGGTGCGGTCGTGCGCTGTGGCATATCACCCAGCTGGAAATACTCAAGGGCACCCAGTATATACACTCGCCCTTTTGTGTATGGAACCCAATACTATATACACTCACCACTGACAGCAAGATAAACCTTGTATGTATATATGTGTATATGTATATATGTGTATATGTATATGTATATATATATATATGTGTGTGTGTATGTGTTTGTTTAGTTTACATATTTCCATGTGTGTAGTGTAGAAATATTCATTCATATTTATATGTCACTGATAGAGAGAGAGACAGGGAGAGAGACAGGGAGAGAGAGAGAGAGAGAGAGAGAGCGAGAGAGCGAGAGAGAGTACTCTTTGGAAGTGCCATCAAAACTGCCGGTGTGCGAGTTGCAATTCCAGCACGCGTGCGATCCAGAAGCCCGCCTTAGGACCTTAAGCCCTGCACCCCGAATCCATTTAAAAAAAGAGCCTGAACCCCTTCCCAGGTGCCCGCGCAGTGCGGGAACATCTCCACCGTCTCCCCGTTTGATAATGCCTCCGCCCCTTGGCACCCCAGCGACGAGGTAAGCATAAACCCAAAAGCCCAAAACCTTCGTCGTTAATCCGATTCCCACAGGATTGACCATTTTTGTTGCCTAAAGCGTAGACCCTTAACCCCAAGTGTGTATCTTCAATGGGTGACCAGAACATCTGTGCATCTCCACATGTTCCCCTTGCAATGGAGTCAGACAAGAGTCCTTGAGAGAGAGCGCCCTTAGCCCTCAACCCCCCCCAGAACTTAAGCAGCCTAGACATGCAAACCTTAAACCTTATCCCAAGGGAACTAATAACTCCCCCGTTCTAACCCTCATTCCACCGGCAAGGGTTTACGTCTTGCAATAACAAGAGAGTTGGAGGGTATGCAGGTTGCCGACTCCTGCAATGAGGGAGGCAGCTTTCTACAGTTTGGCGAGGCTGGCTTTATATCATTTTTCTTCCCCCGCAGTCCAAAGGCTACATGAGCCCACGCAGTAGATAGTTTTTCGACACTCTCGACCCCCAAAGCAATTATATGGGTGCTTCCCAAAGCTGTGTTGGCTACCTCCCCCTCCCCCGCCAAGTATGCCCAAAATAAACTTCAATCCTTTTGTAGAAAAGCTCTGCAAAGTGTGCAAAGAAGGCTACCTGAAGTTTTGGACCCCCGCCCCACCCCCCCTTCCCTGCCACCCATTTTTTGTCTATAAACGCTGTGGGCTTGATCAGGAGCTCGGTGGCAAAGGGTGTTTGGGGTTTAGGGATGTTTTACAAGGTTGCGGAAGAGGGTCTGGAGTTGGGGATGTTAGGGATTCTCTCTGTGTGGGGAGTCTGCATGAAGCTTGAGCAGGTGTGTCTTAGGAAGCCTCGGTCGCCAGTCACGTCCGTGATTCGACGTACGGGTTTCAATGATGAACTTTGGGGTGTTTGCCGTGTAAACCCTGAACTTCTGAACCCTAAACCCTAAACCCTAAACAGCTTGACTGTCGGTCGGCCCGTTCCTTGTGCCCTTCTAAACATTGCTAATTAGTGCAGAGGCCAGAGGCCCCCGTCCATGCATTGCACAAGGAAGCTGGGGGCGAGGTTCATGGAGCCATAGCAGCGATTTCAGGCTCTGTACAACCACCCCTCAACAGCTCAAGCCAGTGTCCCCACCGCAGTGCAGACCTTGCCCGTGGCAAAAAGAACCCCGGAGTGTTTTGTCTGTGAAGGTGTGCTTCGCCTTCTGCGAGCAGGGGTATAGTCTCGATAGCAATGCCACACTCCTTCAGTGCGAGGAGGCCGACCTGGGATGGGTCTTGAGTGTTGGTTTTGAGGCGGCAAATGGGCTTCCCCAAGATGCCACCACGGCAGCCCAGCAACCTCGCCATAAAAACCCGCGTCGAAGAAGGTGAAGGTTCTGAATGCCAAAACCAGGGGCATGAAGTATCAAGGGGTTGAGTTTTCACGCAAGGGCCCTCACAAATCGGGTTCCAGGAGTCGCGGGGAGCTGGCTTTCGAGTTCTCTAAACCCTAAACCCTAAACCCTAAACCCTAACCCTAAACCCTAAACCCTGGCAGGGATGGCTTGAGTCTTGCCGGATCCGCTTGAGGTCTGCGATTGACAGCCCCGAACAGCAAGCACCAAGACAGACAAGGGGTTCGGGTCAGGGAGCTCCAGAAGAGGTTCGTGGTTCGGATTCTCTTCAGGGACCACTCTCAGCGCTCCTCTTTGATCTTGGTCTCAGACCTCTGATTCCCTGGCATACAAGAGTCCCAGCTGCCAAATACAAGGCTTTTTATGGGCCCCTAAACCCTAAACCCTAAACCCTAAACCCCAAACCCTAAACCCTAAACCCTAAACAGTAGGAATGGTCGCATCTGCAGGCTCCCATGAGCAGCGCAGGCTTTATGGTCCTGGAAGGACCGCGACTGCAAGTGTAGAGCTCCTCTTGGGTTGTTTAGGGTTTAGGGTTTAGGGTTTATAAGGGTTTAGGGTTTGGGGAGTAAACATGGAGCCACACGTCAGAATTCGATCCCAAGCCACCTAAACCCAAAATCACTAAGGGGGGCGGCAAAAATCTCAAAGAGTGCCCTTCCAGCTTCCATAAAGATGCTCAGGGCTTAAGAGTTCACGGTCTAGGACCTCTAGGAGCTGAGGATTTACGGTTTAGGGTTTAGCGTCTTGAGTCCATGGGATCCCAGGAAAGCCGCAGTGATGCTCGGTGGAGGTTTGTGGGAGTCTAGCTCCAAGTGGCTGCCACCGAAGGCTTATATAATTAGACTGGTCACCACCGTAGATATCACATACAGATGCGTAGTGTATACGTATGTGTGTATGTGGAGGATCAGGAGCACGACCGTTTCTTTGAGAATCGGGAGACAAGCCACGCTACCCTTCACACAAGCAAGCACGGGATTAGGTTTGATGTCCTGTTGCCAGTTATCTGCCGCTGAGTCAGCCGCAGAGAATATTGCAGCCTGGCCACAGGGACGTTGTCAGCACTCACTCGCCTCTAAACGGTGACCGCACATAATGGGCACAAGGACTTGAACCCTCATTCTTCAAATGTTACGCCAAGGTCACTCTCGAATGTATGTGTGCAGGCCCTGAACGGGCATTTCCCAAATAAAAATCCTCGAATGTGGCAATATCGGAGTCGCACGAGGAGACATGATACACGTCGCTGAGCTGAGCACTGGGCCAACGTGTACCCCAAAGCCATGCATCCGTGGTGCAGGGGGGCCCAGATGTCCCGGGATACTCTCCCAGACGTTCGAGGGGTTTAAGTTTCCATCTATGGAGTCTGGGCAGTTGAGGCTCAGCCTTTGTCGCACAGCGTTGTCTTGAACTGTTGATATGTTTTGGGATTTGGGTTGGGCGTCCGTTTGGATTTCATACCGAGGGCTTTCGCGAGGTAAAGTCTACCTTATGGGGAGCTTTTCAGTTGGGGTTTGAGGAGACGAGACATGAACTAGACCCAGCGGTGATCATCATGTTTAGTCGTAGTTGGTTTTTGTTGTGCGCAAAAGAGCTCAGGGGCTTATGGTCACACTGCAGTAGCCAAACCCGTCCCGACCTCATAAAGGCCGTCCTGCAGAAGCCGTGCAGATCTCCCCCCCCCCCACCCCCAAAGAGCTTACGATGCAGGCTTTCGGGATCATGAACTCTTTTGATGCCATAACATATTCGCAAACAGGTTCATGATAAATTGAACCCCCGAAACACTAAAACCCTAAACCCTAAACCCTAAACCCTATTAACGAAGCAACTGAGATCCCCGATCTCCGTGGCACCACGAACGACTGCCCGGGCACGGTCACTGGCGGCACATGTTCAATCAGCCCGGACCTCTGCCTCGGTCCGCCTAGGCAGGGTTTAGGGTTTAGGGTTTAGGGTTTAGGGTTTAGGGTTTAGGGTTTAGGGTTTATGTTGGGATGTTCCCCCCTTATTACTAAACAGCTCCTTAATCGGGATTGTAGTACCCCCTTATCATAATCCCGATTATGGACTGTTAGTATAAGGGGGAAGATCCCAAGGTGTATGGTTTGAGGCCGCGTTGTCGTTGCAGGATGGTCTGGCTAACTTAGGCAGGAGGGGTGAGGTTTTGACCGGGTTCCATGCAAACGGGCTTAAGTGCGGCCCTGCGAGAAGCAAAGTGTGCCCGCCATGCATGCGGGCGTGTTTCGGCTGTCATCTAGGGGCGTCGCTCGCCAGATTCACCGGGTGCATGGTGGCAGCTGGCATCGGCTAAAAGCTAGTTAGCAGTAAGGGCTCTTTCATCGGAAAGGAGTGCCCCGTCCCCCAGCCACCCCGGCCCCGCCCCCAACAGAATCTCAAAATGCTTCGGGGGATTCGCTCTGCTGGCAAGGGCCCCAAGTGATGCCCACAATGCGCACCGGGCCCCGTAGCAGGACGTTGAATGTGGGTGAGGCTGAGGCCCACTGCAAACGCAGAGAATACGATGTGAACCCGACCCCCTAAGAGCTCGCCCTGGCCTCAGGGTTTAGGGTTTAGGGAGTGTTTAGGGTTTAGGGTCTAGGGTTTAGGGTGTAGGGTTTAGGGTTTAGGGCTGCTGTGAACCGAGGCCTGCTGTAAAAGGGTTCAGGGTTTAGGGTTTAGGGTGACCCAGAGAGCTCAATCACCTTATTTCAGGCCCCATAAATAGTGCCCTGATTGTCATCATCACGTACGTACAGTGTATGTGCAGCGTACAATCATCAGGAGCTCTTAAAGACACTCTTGCCGTTGAGAAATTAGGTTCCGTCCTCGGCTTTGACATGACTGGAAATGTTCAGCTGCACTGCAAGGCCTTTGCCCTATTTGAGGTGTAAGTTTGGCGGTAGCTTTGGATTGTGCAGCGGGATTGGAGCTGTATCATTATGTGGCACTACTAATGTGATCAAACGCTTAAGAGATACCATGAAATAAATCTGCCATCATGTTATTAATTGTAAACGCTTGCAGGGGGCGGGGGTTTCAGGGGTCCCACAAGGGTCCCGCGTGTGGCAGGGGGGTCCCACAAGGGGTCCCAGGCGGGTGGAAGGGTTGGGTTAGGGGAAAGGAGGCCCGATCCAGGTCGGCTTGTTCCAGACGCTTCTCGGCAGGAAGCCGAGGCGATAAGCGATAATCTTGTGTGGTTCAGGGGTCGTCGGTTTTCTTGCGTGTTTGCTAGTCAATGGCAAACATGGTATCCCGGGTAAGATTGTGGGATTTTGGCCTTGTGGCTTAGGAATGCTTGAAGGGCGCTGGTTCCTTGAGCTTCAGATATGGGAATTGGTGGGCTTAAGGGCGCAAGGGCTTACTTTGATGCTTGGTAGTGTGGGTGTGAGTTGCCAGGTGTTTAGTCTTCATGATGTAGGTCCTTCTTCCTGTTTGGCAGGCAGACGGCTCCTTCACCAAGGACACGTGATGTTTTCAACTGGAATGCACCAAGAAGTGTTGCCAGAATACATGGCAGCAACTGTTGAGTTTTACGTGGTGGGTTTGATTGTCTTGCTTCGAGGGAAGATTTTCGTCAAAGGTGAGTCCTGTTGCAAAAAAATGGAAGGTGGTTGCAAGTTGCCTTGCTCAGTTTGTACCGAAGGCGTCCTGCGATGTCTGTGCGCTGTCATCGTGAGAGGTTGCTTGAAGTTTTTAAGGCAGCAACCCGAAGCAAAGTACATAAAGCCCTTAAAACTAGCCAGCCTTCAAGTAGGAAGATCTAAGGAGCTTTGAGCTCGCAACTCGAAAACAGCCCGCAAAAGCAAACGACAACAATTCCTGGACCTGAAGAATCCAAGATCAAAAACTCATCACGCCACCTGGGCCAATGTTGATCTGCGGTTCGGGTTTGAGGGTGTCTAGGGCTACGGGCTAAACCTAGAACCCTAGTGCTGCAACCCTTCTGAAGAGGACCTGCCCACGGTCTCTCCTGCTGTGTGCCCAACCCCCTACTTCACGGACGGCGTGGGTAGCACCTGCGCCTTGCCTCAAAAACCCTGATGATGTGGGCTAGTTGGGAAGTTCACGCGTAGGTTTCTTTGGGGTTGCGAGGTTAACCCATAGTTATGACTTGTTGTGACCTGAGTTTGTTTACTCATTGGCCTACTTCTACCTACTCATGAACCTCCGAGCATACCCTTAAATCCGCAGGGTTCACGGCCGGGTTATTTATAGGGCTTATCTTTTGTAGATTTTTGTAGTACGCGGCAACCACCAGTGAGCTTGCTACGTCTGCTAAGAACGGCGAGCCCGGGAACCCTAAACCCCACACTAAAAGAGCTCAGTCGGTTGAGCAGGTTGCAGGGTTTCTGCAGCAGCCCGAAGGCAAAAGAGTGAAGCTTATAAGGACTTGGTGTGATTTCCAAGAGCCCTACAAACCCCAAAGGAGCCTGGAATCCGAAACGCAGAAAGGAAGCGCCCTTAAGGCAAAGCAAACGCTAACTCCCTGAATCCATAGACAACTTGCATGGCTTCAATCGCCTGCAGCGATGCTCCTGTCATGCGCCCTTGTTCACTTGGCTTGGCTTTTCGGAAGGGTTTAAGGTTAGGGCTTTGGGGTAGAGACCTGCTGCACCTAAACATGCCTTCCAGGTGACAACAAGACTGTTGGTGCAGAATGCTGGGCCTATTGCCACTTGGGTTCTGCCAGATTTCCGTTCCATCGCGACACTCCAGGGCCACTCCTTGTCGTTTCAAGGCAATTTTCCGAAGGTCTTAGAGTCAAGAGCTCAGACAAGGTCGTGCAACCATCGGAGCTAGCAGTAAAGGCACCTGCGGAAGCTTTGCCTCGGGTTCCCCGTCAGAAAGGGTTTAGGGTTTAGGGTTTAGGGTTGAGGATTGCTTCAGGTCAAGGCTTGCTATATAGCGCATTCTTTACAAGGCAAATGGATCTGCTCTGGCGCTCCGTCCGCATTCTTAACTTCAAAAACTGTGAGACTCTTCCGTGCCAATTGTCACACAAGTTAGCGTCGAAACCCCGAAGTTCCGCCCTCTTCACCCTAAACCCTAAACCCCAAACCCTATAAACCCCTATGCCCTTTCAGGCAACCCTGGCTTCGAAGGTGGCTTGGCCGCATACTTCCTTCCTGGCTGGCAGACCGCTGTGGACATGCGCTGAAGTGGGTCGAGTCAGGTTTGTGCTGTGCTTCAAGGCTCCTGCGTATGGTACCGTCTTTATGACCCTACTTAGCATTTGGGTGCGCATGTTCCTCAGCTGAGCCTTCAACCTTCAAGCGGGGTTCAGGCCTTCCGGCGGGGGAGGTGTGCCCCTTTGCGCTACCTGTGGTTTTAGCGTCGTTTCTTGGACCCAAGGCCGACCGAAGCCGTATCAGTGCCAAGTGAATGAGACGGCCAATGCGGTGCTGATTGACCAGGCCACTCACCCATGTGGATGGGTTCAGGTTTTACAAAGGTGTCGGTGTCGGGGTTTCCCGGTTAAGGTCCGGGGGGCCGTTTGATTCTTGGGGTAGCTTGATATCAGGGATCCTGAGGTCGACCGGTCGACCTCCAGAAATCTATACGCCAAGGGGCAAGTTCCTTGCTTATGGGCTACACCTACCCGTAAGAACGGATACCGGGGTCACTCCACTGCAAGCAACTCTGCAAGGCTCTAGGTTTGCCCCTGAAGCTCGAGACATCAGTTCGCTGTGTGAGATGACTAATGAGCCTAAACAGGCAAGTCATAGTTTAGGGCATTTGGGGGTAGACCGACTGAGAGGGCGTCTGTAGTTCGATTGTAAATAGGTTTTCTTTCGTGTGATCCTGGATCCTGGCCCATCAAAGCCGATCTTGCGCAGATGGCGGTCGACGCCATCAACTGCACCAACATCAGTGCCCGAGCTGACTCGGCTTGTAGATCTTTGAAGGTAAATTGCCCGGTTTTTTTTTTTTTTTTGGGGGGGGGGGGGGGGGGGGGCGCGGGGGGGCGGGGGGGGGGGGGGGCGGGGGGGCGGGGGCGGGGGAGGGTGGGGGGGGGGGAGGGGGTGGGGGGGCGGGGTGATGGGGGGGGGGGGGGGGGGGTTGGGGGGGGGGGCGGGGGGGCGGGGGGGGTTGAAGCCGAAACCCTACGACCTCAACCCGACCACAACCCCAGACGTGGAGCTGGAAGCTGCGTACTTCGTAGTTTTGTATTTTCATGTTTCGGGCTTATTGTATAGGGTCTGCGGTTTCATCCCTTGCTGTTGTTTGAGACTTGTCTTTGAGGCCTCACCCGCTAGCTGTTTAAGCTGTTTGTCCGGCATTGCTATCACATGCTGATGGCTAAATACATATGTCAACCACTGAACTTGCGGGTCGCAAGCCTTGGGGCGCCGTGGGGCCTGTCGAAGAAGAGTGTACCCCTGGAAAGCAACCTCCTCAGCATCCAAGTCAAGGTACGGACACCGTCACGGTCACAACGGACACGAACGATACCAACGGCACCAACGACACAAACGACACGAACGACACGAACAACACTGCCGCCCGTCGACTTCAAGCATCGAGCCCGTGCACGATGGCTTCCGTGGCGACTGGGCGGAGACCTTAATGCGGGTAGAGGAGCATCGTTGCTCCCCCTAAACCTTTGTTCTAGCTACAAGGGCATCCAAGCTGAAGAGGGGCTGGCTGATTATGTTCCTCTGAAGCTGGAGCCTCGGGGGGAGAGTTTGTTTCTCGAAGGTCAGCATTATGTTGAGCACCCCCGACTCTGCTTAAACCCAGGTCCCTTGCAACGCTTCTTTTGAGGGCAGCCTAGAAAATCAATGAGGGTTTGTTCGTCCTGCTGCAAGGCCCAAGTCGGTCTGGATAGCGCAGCCTACTTCCACGACTGCACCAACAAGGTGCTTGGAGCAGTGCCAGCCCTTCAAACCCTCAATCCCAAAACCAGTAACAAAAATAACTTCAGGGATCCTACTCGGAGGTACATGGCAGCAGTTCCTGGCTGGGATTAGACGTCGGTAGCTGTTTCCGGCTTTTCGTAGCATATTATAGGGGGGGGGGGGTGTACTTTCAACAGTACATCCGGCCACCGTGAGCCTTCCAGCACCCAAAAGCTGCATTCCCAAGCCTTTGTCCCACAGTACCGGGAAGACTGCGCCATCGCAGGGTCACGACTCAGGAAATCGAAGGAGATGTTTGTCCAGGAGCTGCGGTTGTAGTGTGTTCAGTTCGGCTTCATAGTGACGGGTGTGTTGCAAAGCCAGAGCAAAGGCATCTTGGACAAGACATCAATCTAGTCTTGGAAAAACCTCGACACGCGCCCTCCCGCGACATATTCCTGTTCCCAATCCCCGACAACACCCAGACTTCGGTGCAGGCCCATGATGAGGTGTGCATCGCTCACTGCGCGCAAGGCTGGAATATGACTCAGGAGGAGCCATCCATTTTCGTTTGCAAGAGTGGTCCCTGGCCATTGTTAGGGGCGGCCGTCATTGGGGATTCCTTTGTTTCCTTGTTGTGGTGGCTTGGGAGCTGTAGTTGACCTTTGAGCAAAACTCGGGGGTAAGGCTTGCAAGGCTCCAAGCACAGCGTCGGCAATATCTAACTGGATGGTGATATGCATACATGATTTCTTAGTTTCTTCATGAAGTATTCATCTCTATCTTTTATATCACTAGATTAGCAGATCTTGTTGCGGGCAGGTGTTCATGTTTTACTGCGCTGCCTTCAACCTTAAACACCAGTTGCTAGGCGGCTGGCAAAGAAACAGTACTCCAGGAGGCTAAGAACCTACCAATATTTCCCCCTTCAACATACCCCTCCCCCTCCCCCCCCTCCGCCCAAAAAAAAGTCCGGGCATGTGTTCGAGCCTAGGCTTCTTGGTTGGTGCGTCGCTGCCAACATGCGTCCCGCTCCCGCGCCTGAGCTTGAAGACACTTAGGGTGAGTGGATTGCTCTCATTGCTGTTGCTAGGGCCAAGCGTTCCAGCAGACATACGTACGTTGCGACATCTGGATACTCTCAGACTTTGTGGGTAAGGGTTTAGGGTTCCTGCAAGGGCTGCTGCTCCTGGCACGTCATGAGAATGGGAACGAGAATGGGTGGCAGTAATAACGGGGGATGTAAGCAGGAAACCTGGTTGTCATTGGCTTTAGCCTTGTGTGGAGCCCTACTACGAACTCAGCGATGGGAAACATTTTGAAGGGGTCTAGCTGCACCAGGGCAGGGCTTCCTAAGTGAGTTCTTCTTCAGGGAGGTCCTATGACTGCCGTCAGTGTCAGGGGCTGCAGAAAGGGTACAGGCCGCACTCTCTGCAAACACAACACAATCTTAGGGTGTGCGTACCTGAGACACTACCAAAACCTTCAAGTCAACTGGCATTAAGGAACTGGGTTTATGGCTTAGGTTGGTCGGTTTAGGGACTTAAACCAAAAGTGCTGGACTTCAGGTGCAGCTACTCTTTCCCTGATGGCTTGGGTGTACGGCACAACTGCCCCGCTCTCAGTCTTGCCTTGTCTACTGAGAGCCTCCCCCGGGCCGGCTAGGAATGGATGCTTGGGGAGCACCTGAACTTGTCTGCGGTTCAGGGCAGGTTCAAGGCCGCTGTGTCCGGCAAAGCTACTCCGAGCGAAACACCTCAAAGGCCTTTAGCTCTCTCGACGGGTCGCATCATCTTGAATCTCTATTCGAAAGCCTTTGGCGCTCCCTTTGGCCGACTTCAGTACCCGAAGCGCTCTCAACTCGAAACAGCTAAGACGGATATCCTCAGGATTGAGATACAAGACCCCTGAACCCCAAACCCTTATAAAGCCTTATAAACCCTATAAACCCTATAAACCATAAACCCTTATCAACCCTTATTAAACCCTAAACCCCGCAAACGAAAACCTAGGACATTCGCAACAGAAGCGTCGAAGAACCCTGCGCTAGGCAACCTTCAGAGCCATACACACAGGAGCCCTAAATACTTGGTGGTACACTTTACCTTTTTTTGTTCTGGTTTCCCCTTTACAGTATCCAGCCCAAAAAATGGGTGCCCTTATTGAAGTAGGGTTACTGGGCTACCAAGAATAATTGCCCTTAGCTATCCGTCTTGTAATCCTAGATAGAAGCATTCTGAAGGGTGTGAAACACAGAATCACAAGCTCAAGGCAACGGGGTCTAGGCGCAAAGACCTCAACAGAATCAAAGCCCTAAATCCGCGTCGGCCAGGCCTGGGCGTCCGTTCTGCGGAGTCTTGCGAGGCGACGTGCACCGAGGTCCGCCGGGAGCGCTGTCTGGCAGGGTTGGGTGCAAGGCCTTCAAACAGAGCGCACCAAGACACCAGGCCCTAAAAAACCCTAAGCCCGTAAACCTTAAACCCTCAACGCGCTGTGCCTAGTCGGGTGGCAAAAAAGATTCCTCTTGGTAGAGCCTTTGAAAGAACTAAGGGGCAGATCGAAGCCCAGGATGCCCGGATTGAGGGGAGCCTGCGGCAAAACGGCCTCAACCCGTTCATGGGTAGCTATGAGTAGTAGGAGTTTACGTAGTCTGAGAGTGGGAGGGTTGCATCCATGTCCCTGCCCCCCCCCCCCCCCCCCCCCCGAAAAGATCTGCTTGTACTCAAAGGTATACATTTAACCATGAGCCATCAAGTTTTCACCCACACCCAAATCCGTCCTATGCAAGGCAGGGTACACCTACGCTGCCGGCGCTTCTGCCGAAACCTGGACATGCTTCCCAGCTGCTCATATATATATATATATATATATATATGCACAGAAAAATATACACATACATATATACATACATGTATATATGTATATATGTATATATGTATATATGTATATATGTATATATGTATATATGTATATATGTATCTATGTATCTATGTATCTATGTATCTATGTATCTATGTATGTATGTATGTATGTATATGTATGTATGTGTATGTATGTGTATGTATGTGTATGTATGTGTATGTATGTGTATGTATGTGTATGTATGTGTATGTATGTGTATGTATGTGTATGTATATGTGTATGTATGTATGTATGTATGTATGTATGTATGTATGTATGTATGTATGTATGTATGTATGTATGTATGTATGTATGTATGTATGTATGTATGTATATGTGTATGTATGTATACCTGTAGACATGCTGGGACAACTGACACCGTCAGCCGCATGTAGAAAAGCGCAGGGCCTGCTAAATCTAAACTCCCCTGCTATCAGGACTTCGGTGAAAGCTCTAACAACCTAAGCCACAAACCAACCCTCTTCCTTTAACCAAGGTTTGCCCACAGGGAGTCTCGACGGGCAGGTCCCTACATGCCTCCCGGCATACTCATTGCGCCTCTTCCGGCTCCCTATAATTTTTAGGCTTAGGGGGTTTGGTGGTTTGCCATTTAAGAGTTTTTGGGGCCTCAAGTTTGGGGGGATGATGGGTTTACGCTTTTCTGACGGGCATGCTTTTTGGGTCTCCGTTAACTCTGACATCGCACCTCCTTTCTTGTAGTTTAGGGGGCACCTCTTTGGGTAGCCTTTCGGCATGGACAGGTTTAACAGGGAAGGGGCCAGTGTTATCTGCCTAAGACCGAAAGTAGTAGGGAATATTTCGGGGCAACCCTTTTGAGCGCCAGGTGTTGGTACAGAACTGCCTACAGCCTTGTTGTGAGCCCTCGTTTTAACTGGCCATGAACCTTCAAGATCTTCAAGCACAGGGCGCTCAGATCGGACCTCTTTCGACCGGTGCCCTCAGGGCCAAAGCCAAGGTGAGAGAATCGCCTGTGTCGACTTGGCCATCAACACAATGTACTCTCACAACTGCCAAGGCTTGGCTGCCTGCCTCTCTTCGGATCCTCACAGATGCCAGACCCTAAGCCCGAAACCTTGGGATGTTCCCCCTTATGCTTACCGTCCCTAATAGGGGTTATCGTACCCCTATTACACTCCCCATTCAGGACCCTGGCTTACATGCCCACGATTCATTTTGCTTAACAGTAAACCCCAGGGTTGAGCCAGCAGGAAAGCGCTTCGAGGACACCTGTTCCGTGGGCTGCGGACCAGGCCACCTGCATGCGTCTACATGTCTACTACGAAGAGGGGCCCTATGACGTAGGAAAGGCAAGTTGTGGCCTGAGGCCTGGAGGCCGAATAGCACCAAGCAGGCCTACAAACTGACCTTAACTTTCATATTTCCCTGTGGGTGAGAGTTGTGCACGATGGCCGTGTTAGGCTAGCAGGCTAAGGTGCGTACTGCTGTGGCCAGGTTTTACGCTCTCCGGCACGGCTGCGCAGTACCAGTGCCAGGCCGCTCGCTCGTTGTTATCCCTGCGCCTTAGCAATTCCGAAGACCGAAACCCTAAACCCCAAGCCTTGATGGTGCAACTCGCCTGGCTTGTCAGAGTGATCGATTCAACCCTAAACCCGAGGGAGTTGGGGCTGAGAGGATAAGGATGTACCCAAAGCCCTTGAGCCAGCAAGCCCTTACCTGGTTACCTACTGGTTCTCCCGCACTATGTATACATATTATATATATATATATGATATATGTATCTCTCGCTTTGAGGCGGTTAGGGTATGGTCCCCAATTCCCTCATTCCTTACTAAGAACCAGTAAGCTCTTAGTATCGAGCATCTGCCAGCAACAGTCAAGTCCAGATGGTATTTGCGCGCGCCCGAAAACGTAAACTCCATCCAGTCTCGGCGCTCGGGCGCTCGGCTTCTAAACCTTATACAAGAACATGTATATGTGTATATATATATATACATACAATTATATGTTTTCATTTTTTTTGGGTGGGGGGGGGGGGTGGCGGGGGGGTGGATTCCAGCGCAGGCCATGAGCATCATGAGAAAGGGTAGGGTTTAGGATTCCGGGGGTTTGTGAAGAGAGTCCTTCAAGAACTTCGCTGTTCTAGGTTTGGTGCTTTAGGGTTCTACGGTTCGAGGATGGTCCAGAGCCTCCACATGCCGACTGAACCCCGCAACGCATTAACCCTACTCGTCTTAGAGCAGTTACATGGTTCCTTGTAATGGGGCCTTAAGATCCCTTAAGTGGGGACACTTTCGAACGGAACCATGCTTCAGAACTCTTCAAAAGAAGCTCGGGACCAGATGACTGGACCATGCAACCTCGCTTAGAACCTGGAAGGATCTTGCAGGTTCATGGCTATGTAATTGGTCTTATCAGGGGGGGGGGTGTCTATTCGTATAGGTTTCCTACAGCCACAACTTGTTGCAGCCTTAGTTGGGGTACTCTTACCTTCTACCCAAGAAACCTAGCAGGCCGACGGCAACATCACCGGCTCACTTCCCACCTGCTTGGGCAATCCGCTCCTTGTCCTGGGAAGCTATGAAACCTAGGGGCATGGGTTTCCGGAGCTTCAGCTCCCCCGAATGAACAAAAGGACTTCGGGCCTCAGATAACTGCTGTTTTTTCACAAAAGGGCTTGGTGTTTGGAGTGGTTTCGTGTTTAAGAACAAACCGATTGTAAGCACATGTTTCACGTAAACGGGGCATAGGTTCGGCTTCAGGGTTTGCAGGGTAGCATGCTCAAAGCAGCCGAAGACGGAGGATCTCCCACTAGGCAGGTCCCTTTCTACTCTCTGCCGGTTTAAGTAGCCTAACTCAGGTATGGACCCTATGATAAGCGCAAAACCCAAGTCTAAACAGCCGCCTCATGACGTTTGGTGTATGCGGGCAGTTTCGACGAGTACCCTAAATTCAACAACCCGCATATGCCCGGGTCATCAACACGCGTCAGGGAACTGACCAGACAGGGCCATTTAAATCCAGCAGAAGGAGATCTTCACGCCCTGCCCGGGATACAGTACTGTAAACTCAAACCCTGAACCCTAAACCCTAAACCCTGAACGCTCAGTTCAGCTAGGCGGGCGGCAAAAAAAATCCCTGAAGCCCACCACACTCCAGGTGCTCCAACACACTTCCGACGGATCCGGCTTTCGACACCTCGGGTGCCCACCTTGGCATTGCGCGGCCAGAGGGTCGGAAACCGTACGTACGCGTATGCACTTACATAACGCACATACACCTCGTGAACCCTAAACCCTAAACAAAACCCCTATTCAACCCTAAACCCCCCTAAACCCTAAACCTAAAGGTTTGTTTTTTTTTTTTTTGGGGGGGGGGGGGGGGGGTTTGATGATGCTCTTACTGGGGCTGTCGTCGCCTTCTTCAAAGGCCTCGAGGAGTCCTTTGAGCCTTTGCAAAACCCTCAAAGCCAGCATTGGAAGTCATATTCGTAATCACATTAATGCAAAAAGTTAGTAATCGCAATAGTATTAAATGATAAGAATAGTATTTCTAATATGCTCCTGCCGCAACTCGAACGTGGCCGTTTCGTCGCAAGGTTGTGACAGCAAGACGACTGGTCAAACCTGCTTCGTGCCTTGGCCGAGTTACTACTCTGTGTTCAGGCTCTGGCCTGCTTCTTAATCACTGAAATCTGGGAAGCCTGGCATGTGTGTGTGTGTGTATCTTAAGTTTAAGACTTTTTAACAGTGACATGAGGTGGGATCTTTGTCACAGAGAGCTATCAAGCATGCACAGACATTTGCGTTGCCGCTTGCAATCTGATGGTTGTGAGTCGCCACCAGCATGTCCAGCATTTTCCCCACCCCCAAACCCCCCCTACACCCGCCCCCTGCACCCACCGCCCTCTTGCTGCTGCTTGCTTCTCGCAGTTGGTCTCGTTCCTGCTACGCGCAGGTCGAGGTAGCATGGAGTGCTAGTTAGGCTGCGCCCTTGTTGTTTTTTTCGTGATGCAGCTGACTTTTCAGGCCGCTGCAAGTAAGGGGGGTGAGTTGCAGTTGTGCGCATTGTCGCGAGGAGGATCACGAGGGCAATCTTGGTTGCCTTTACCCCCCCCCCCCCCCCCCCCCCCAAGGCCCCCAAGAAACCAAAGCCCTGGAAGCCCGAAATGCCGCCACCAGGTGACCTGCAACCCGGGCTACACGCCAAATGTTGGCATGCTCACCTGCGACACTTCCGGTGGCTCAGCCGAAGCTCCACGAGTTTTCCACAGGTCTCCCTCTCGTGGCCCTAGAGTGTATTCTCAAACTCTGAATGGCAAATCTCGGCAAACAAACCTTAACCCTACAACCCAAACCTTAAACCTGAACAGGGTTATAGGGCTAACGAGGAAGCTTGATATGGGGATGCGTCAGGCTGGCTGCCTATGCAAGGGAGAAGCTTGCCTTTTTGGGCCCTCAACCCTTTCCCGGTTCCCTTTGATGCCAAAGAAGGGTGCACTTTGACCTGATACTCAGCCCTTGGCATGAAACATAGAACGGGCCTTCGGCAGCTCACGGCCAAGGCAGCCAAAACGCAGGAAAGGCTCATGCAACCGGCCCCATACTCCTATAACCCTAGGCCGTCCACTAAAGCCCCCCCCCCCCCCCCCCCCAAAAGCCCTCAACCCACGCAGCCGTCGCAAGCCCCCGCCGCCACACAGGCTTCTTGCTGGGAATCCTGCCTTCATGCAAGCCGCAGCCGTGCCCCAACAACGCCACGCTGGACATGCCCTCCCTCGTACACACCTGCGAAGGCCCCGGAGGGCTAAGCCGGCTAAGCTGCTGTTCAGGGATCCTGCCCCACACCTTCGCCGACGTGCCATCATGCTCTGTTGTTTCTGGGCAACGGTTCCGAACTGCGAACCCCTGGAGCCACATATCAGTTTAACATGATACTGTATTGAATTGAGTCAATTCGTTCTACTACAAAAACCGAATATGTGGTAATATCATTAAATTGGAATATACGATCAGCAACTTCAAGAAGAATACCGAAGCACCCCTCAAACCGTGGCACAGGAGTCGCTTACAGCGGGACCTGCGCGGCCTTCTGTGCTCCAGGGCTCCTTGGTGGAGAGATGCCTATAGGGCTTGTTAGGGTTTAGGCTTTAGCGTCTAGGGCCTGCTGGTCTCTGGTCCCAGCAAGCAGCTTCCAGTTTCAAGAAGGGTCTAGGGTTGAGGGTTTGAGCTTCAGGGTTTCGATCTTGTGTCGCCGACCGACGGACTTCGAAGGGTTGGGGATGTTCGGTTCGTTCCCCGGCTGGATTTGTATGCAGAGTTTAGGTTTAGGTGGGGGTTCAGCGGATCTGGGATCAAGAAAAGGGTTAAGGTTTGGGTTTGGGGCCCCAGATTGAGTCTTTCAGGTCCCCGAAACCCCTAAGCCCCATGAACCCTAAACCCCTTGGATGCCAAGAGTTCCGGGATGAAAAAGTCGTGGGTTTTCGCTTCGAGCTCGGTTGAAAGGTTTGGGGATTTCGGAGTGTTGTTTGGGATTTCAGGGTTTGCCGTTTGGGTTTAGGCTTAAAAGAAGGGTTTAAGTTTAAGGGGGGTCTTGCCTTTATGGTGCTGGAAAAGCAAGGGGTTGCGTGGAACAAGCCGTTGGGGGACTGCAGTGGCAAGGTACATCCTCAGCAATGGAAGTGAAATCGAGGACCTGGCAGAGAGAGTTCCATTCACGAAATCGGGCGTGTCTAAGCTAGACTACGCCGCGGTGTTAAGACATGTTGGCAGATTCCTGTACTTAGGACACCCCCCCGATGCAAAACCCACTGTGGTTTCGTGTTACAAGTCGCCCAAAAGAGAGTGTGAGCGAGAGCGAGAGAGGGAGAGAGTAGGCAGCCTCCTGCTCTAGAAAGAAGAGAGCGAGAGAGAGAGAGAGAGAGAGAAATAAAAAAGGACAAAAGAGAGACCAGTCAAACTAAGAGAGAAAGAGAGGGCGAGAGCTGCTGCAGCGTCTACGGGCTCGCAGTCGTTCGGGGGGAGGGATAGAGGAGGGGGTGATGGAGGGAAGGAGGAAGGAACTGGAGAGAAAGAGAAGGGAGAGAGCACGAGAGATGTCCATCTTGTGGACTCACCCCAACCAAGGAGTCAGGAAGAGATGCCTGCCCCAAATCCTAATTGCACTACAATTATCCACATTAACCAACTACTTACATCACTCCCTCCATGATTACATCGTTACATTATATGATTTGTTTTTAGGTTGTTTAAATATACTATTAAAGTTATGTGTCCTTGTTGTCGCGTCTTTGAGGGCCCCACCTTTGCCCCTTGCAGTTTGTTGCCGCGACCTGTGAAGATAGCATAGGTTTCTACAAACCCTAAAATGCCCATCAAAACCTGGCATGGCCAGGAGTGGAGCTGCATGCGCAATGCGGTTGGGATCCTCTTCCTGAGCGGGACGGTCCCGGTTTGTGAGCCCCAGGTGGGAGTTTGAGTCTTTTTCTGGGCTTAGGGCATCCGATGGTATGTAGCTTAGTGACGTCCAGAAACGTGAGCCGGTGTTCATGAAGTTACGTCCCAAGGACATTCAGGCCTAGCCCTTTATAGCCAGCTTTTTCGGATACCCCAGGCCATCGACAGTAAACTTTCATACCCCTTAAACTTCCCCAGTGGTACCTTCGTGGTGGTTGTGTCTTAGGGCTGAGGCAGGTTCCCTTCCAAACCTCTCTAAATGCTGTGGCCTTGTTGTTTTTAGGTTCCTGCGGAGACTCAAAGGCCCTCAGCCTCCTGGTAGTCTCCCACATCTGCTGTCGCGAGACCCCAAACCCTAACCCCGAAGCCCTAAGCCCCTAAACCCTAAATGCTGAACCCTAAACCAGCCCTAAGCCCTTAAATGCAGGCTTGTGACTCGGGGCTGCCGGTGGCGAGCCCCAACCTCGTGGACAACTGCTCGGCGCTGACGACCGGTCTCTTTGGCTGCTGTAAGAGAGCTTTGGGTGGAGGGGGGAGAACATGCTTAGGGCTTCAGAGGGTTTAGGGTTTATACATACATGTACATACACCCACGTACACATACATGCACACATGTGTATATATCATGTAAGCCCATTTTGCGCAGGGTGTAGGTTTGCAGGCTTAGGCCTTAAGTGGAGATTACGTCTTAGAGGGTTTTGGCTTAGTTTAGCTTAAGGGGCTCCAAGGGTACTGTTATAAAACACACGAATTGCAAGGGTTCCCAGAGTTCACTTGTGGGCTTCTCAAGGTGTGCCTGGCACCCCGAAAGCCTAAACCATGGTTCAAAAGATTAGCCTGGGATGGCACGCACAAAACCCTAAACCCCAAACCCTAAACCCTAAACCCTAAACCAAGATATGTATCGCCATTTCCCTGCAGAGTGTCCGAGAGGTCAGCTAAGCGGGTGGCGAAAAAAAACAACCTAAACCGAAGCTATGGTTCAACGCCTAGGACCTATAGGGCCTGGCCTCAGAGGGCAGGAGCTGATGACGCAAGGCTCTGCCTACTACAAGACTTGGCGATCCTACTTGCCCCCATGGTAAAACTAAAACTGCCCAAGAACCTTGAAATCGGATTTGGAACGGAGCTCGCTGCCAAAAAGGGGTGAGGGTTTAGGCACCACCGGGTTGGGTTGGGACTGACGAGCTGGGGTTTAGGCGTCCGGGGCGGGTTGAAGCCTCCTTTGCAAAAGGTTTGGAGGCTTCATTTAAGGGTTTAGGGTACCCTAATTTTAACCTTTTAACCACTTCAGGCAGGTTGCAGTGTTTAGAGATCCGCCGCCCAAGGCCAGAGCTGCACGCAGGATTGCGCGACGGGCTACAGCAGCACAGCTGGCCCGAACACGTACACCTGCACCGAGGAGCCGCAGCGCACATCAGGGCTTTCACGTTATTAAACAAGCATATGCGTGTATATATATATATATACATCTGTATTTCTACACATGTGTATGTATGTCTATGTATGTATGTATGTATGTATGTATGTATGTATGTATGTATACATTTTGACACACAACACGTATACATACACACGTCTAAATATAAATAGATACTCTACATATTTATGTATATATATATACACACGCACACACGCATGTGTGTGTGTGTGTGTGTCCGTTGCTGGTGAATAAATAAGTCCTCCCAACATGTCTCCTACCCATAGTATCCCTGCTTGCAACCTAGTGCGTACTGGACCGTACTGGACCGTACTGGTGCAGGATTGGCAGCTTGGGGCTGAGGGTTTGTAAGATTTTCGGGTGCAGGCAACCATGAGCTGGGGCTTGTGTTTGAGGAGCAGGCGAGGTCACTTTGTCAGCCTCGGGTTCGGTTTAGGATTTAGGGTTTTGAGTGTTGGCTTTAGAGTTTAGCGTTTAGGGTTTTTAGGGTTCATGTAGGTTTGCTTCCATCCCCGGCCGACTGCCCAAGCCCGGATGCAAAAAGGGTTTACTTGGGAATCGCAGTCGTGATGGAGATTCTCATTCGGCAGGGGCCTCGCGGGGTCTCGATATGCTTTGACAGCAGGATGGCTCCGCCACTAGCTCGGGGACGCCCCCGTGCCAGCCAGTGCAGTGCGTGCTTCGGCCAATTCTGGAGGTTTTGCTGTTCAGCATACACAAAGTTAAGTGCTCGTTCCGGCTTGAGCGTGTCGCCTGGATTAGTTGGGCATCTGTCCAGACAGGCCAAGGCCATTGCTCTGCCCGGGTGACCCCGGGCTGGCTTGTCCTACATGTTTAGTCGAGCGCCCCATGCCTTTTCAACAAGATTTAGGCTTCAGGGTTCTGGGCCGGCGTTTAGTGCAAGTTGAATAGGCTCATAGGGTTAGGAGCATTGGGTTTGAAAGCCTTGCAGGCATGCCCACAACATCCAAGGGCCTGTGGGAATTCAAAAGCCCCGACTGACCCTCATTCCATTTTGAAAGCTCTATAGGAGTCGATGTGCCGTCTTTGTATGTGCGTGTATATATGTATACATACATCTGTATGTATATATTTATGTGTATATATATATATATACATATACATGTGTATATATATATATATATGTAGGGTACTTTTTGTATACATGTATTTATGTACACACTATTTATATATATGTATAGATATATACACATACGACACTTTCATAGTTTAACTTAAGTTTATGTTCACCCCAGTGACACTTGAAGATTGCGTTTCCTCCTCTACCGTATCGCAAGTGTATGGGGGGAAGCATATGCGTGCATGTGATTTCTTCTTATCTGGTTGAGGCTTCTATCAGAACAGACGCAGTCAAGCCCTGGACCAAATCCTGAGCCCTGCCGCTACTCTCCATGAATGCCACCCTAAACCCAAAGTCGGAGGGTGGCGACAACAGAAAGCCTGGAGCCTGGAGCATACATTGTATGTTACATATATATATATTGCACATAGAGGTATTCTTAAGTATGTCAAGTAACAACATCCCAAGACAACAAATCAAAACGCTTCAGAGCCTGGCACACCACGACTTGACATCGCACAGGCCTCAAACCTGGGCACCAATGCCATAGCGACTCGGTGTGGTATGGGGTTCTTGGGTTGATGAGTGAAGCGCAGTGGTTTCAGGGTGCCTCGACGCGAGGTTACACTTGGCTGTCCACTTTCGCAACCCCAACTTAATGGTTATTCACCATGTAGTAGTACTCTCCCATTCACCCCGACATTGCACTCTAATTGCAGAAGACACAAAACAAATCTGCAGAAGGCCAGACAGTCATAGCGGACCAAGAAGAAGCCAGCACAAAGATTGTTTCTGCACCCTGTCAGCTCTCCTGGCTCAAGTGAAGATCAGCAGTTCAGTAGCATTTCGTGGCCATGCCATCTCTTTACCACGCCTCAGCCAGCCAGAACCGAAGCTCCATCGAGTCATCTGGGCTTCGGCCGAACCCAGGTCGGTTGGGCAACCATGTCTATGCCACCTTCACTGAGGGCCAGGCCCGGAAGATTGCAGATCACTACGAGCAGCGCACCGGCCGTCCCCAAGATGTGTGGCGCTTTGACGTGCCCACCTCTGGGTTGCAAAAGGTGGAGGAGCACCCCAGCTGGGCTGGCATGAGTTCCTTCAAGGAGGTGTGTGTGGATCATGTGCCGGCGCACCAGCTGAGGCGTGTGTCTGGTTCGAGCTCGGGGGGTGGACTCAAGTGCCCACAATGCCATGTGAACCCAGCTGAGGATGGCGAGGCTTGCTTCCAATGCTACATCAAGCGTGCGGTCGAAGTTATGATCGCCAGAAACTCCAACCGGTAGTCCCGACTGTTTCACATCAGCCCCAAAGTAGCATTTTGAGATGAAGGTACATACCTTCTTCAGACGCGTGGCAAGACTTCGGCAAGACCAGTGGAGTGGAAAAGGGGGCGGGGACAGGGGGGGAAGGGGAGGGGGGGGAGGGGGCTTGGACTTGGCTTGTGATGATGTCAACCTGTGCATACTGGAGTGGGGGGGAGGGGGAGAGGGGCGGAGGGGGAGAGGGGGGCGGGGGGGGGAGTGGGGAGGGAAGGGGGGAGAAGGGGGAGGGGGGAGGGAAGGGGGGGGGGGAGTGCATCGTAATTGTTACAAAAGCTCCAGTCGTAACGCTGAGGGCTCATGGGCCCAGGAAGCCCAATACGCCTCAGTTCAAGGCCGTGCTTTAGTTGACCACTAAGGGAAGGTATATCCCTTAATTGAGGGGCGATGTTGGGCTCACTGCGGTCATCTGAAAAGGTTTTGGGGGTTTATTTAGGGAATGTTGTACGGTGTACGCCGCTGCGTTCCCTCACGAAGACGAGGTGCACACCTGCAGTGGGGTGACCTTCGGCGCGAGCTGCTATGCAGTCTGCTGGCGCGGTTTCGGGTTTTCGGCCAACAGCTAAGCGCTTAAAGCCATTTTGGGCTCACCTTTTTCCCCCAGAAAATGTCAGTCCGTAAGACGCAAATCCCATGATTTGATGCTCCAAATCCAAAAGTCCAAGAGATTCAAAAGCCAGAGTGCGCGATCCCAACAGTGAAGAGCTAGCCATGATCTGTTGAGGGAAAAATCCTGCCTGAAGTGCGCTGTTTAGCCACGTCTTATTTGTTGTGTTTGTGTACGGTGGATGGTTTGGGGGCTTGGCATTCGACTAGCTTTGTGACGGGACCTGAAGCTCTCAAAAATATTACGCATCCCTAGGCCCCTTATCCCGCTACTCAATGGGCCACCTAACCTCAGCCAGACTTCTTTAGGGATTGTTTTGGCTTGCAGGCGCATCCCTCTAAAGCCACGAGCTAGGAGCCTTCAGCTGCTTAAAAGGCCATCGAAACCCCGCATAGCCGGGCCCAGGTCTGCGCCCCAGGCTACAACAGCTCCCAGGGGCCCCAGACGTGGGACTGCGCAGGACGCTGTTCAGGGTTCAGGTTGCAAAGGTTCAGGGATCAGCTTAGGATTCTGGAGCCATCTGGAGCCCCTCCTCCTTCCCCCCAAAACGATGTTGCACCCAGTCTCGCTAGACAATCTGCAGAATTCCGGGTTTGTTCAGTTTCTCGAGTTTGCTGGGGTAGCATTGTGGGTTCAAGACGCCTTCGCGGCTAAGATGTCCACGTTGGACTCCTCAGTTCCTCCTTAGGCACCCAGCAAGTCCTTGGAGGCTCACCTGGCGGCTATCGGTTGGGTTGCAAGTCTTCCCATGAAGGCTAGGTATAGCAAGTGATACGAGCGATAGCTGCCTATGAACCTCAGCTCTCATGGCAGGACCGGATAGTGTGCTGCCAGCCATTCCAGGCCAGGTGGACAACTCTTGGGACCAGGTTTAGGGTTCACGGTCCTAGTAGAAATGGCTTAGGGTTCCAGGCAAGACGTGGCTTAAGAGTCTGCAGTTTGGCAAGTGCGAGCCTCCCCTCCAGGGGGCGTAAAAAACCCTGTAAAGCCTGGAAACCCCGGCATGCTGATAGATTTTGCACGTGCTCCTGGTTGCTCGGCCAGTATTGTCACCGACCGCTTCATGCTAGTTGGCACTTTCCACAGAGGGTCTTCAAGCACAGAAAACACAGAACTAAACAGCCCCTCAACCCACAACTCTCTTGAGCACAACTCGGTCGCGCAAAGAGAGAGAGAGAGAGAGAGAGGGAGAGGGAGAGCGACCGGGCGCGCCTCGTGCGTGGAGAGTGCATGCCTGCGTGCGTGTGCTCTTCAAGAAGAAGAAGAAGAAGAAGAAGAAGAAGAAGAAGAAGAAGAAGAAGAAGAAGAAGAAGGGAGAGCGAGAGAAAGAGAGGGAGAGAGGGGGGGGGGTGGCGGATGGGCGTAAAGTGCATCACTCAACGTGCGATGTTTGCCGGAGCCTCCATCGTTAAGTGTCACGGTGACTGGACGCAACCCTGGGCGCGCCTAGTGCTCGGGGGGCGGCGCCCTTTAGGCCCCGTAGCAGAAGAAGAAGGAGGAGAAGAAGAAGAAGAGAGACGAGTACTTGAACGTGTCACGATCAGAACTGAAAGTGAAACAACATGTACATGATCAAACGCAAACATCAAGACTTTAAGGGTAGAACCCGAAATCCTACAGCTTAAGACCATCTGCATATGTAGAGAACCGCAATAAGTGAGCAAGTGTCAACATCAACCAATTCATAGACATGTACAAGTATGTATGCATGCGCATATCTAGATATGGGACATGCAGCTTGCAGCTCTGTCCCGAGGTCTTGCCCCCGTGGCTGACATCGTCCTTCGAGGGACAAGCAGCTGGTTTGGGGGGGTGGTGGGGGCTTATATACTCAGCCCTTATCTGCATTAGGATTCAGGCTTAGAGAGAACAGGGTTAGGCATAGAGATTGCTTGTGAAAATTTACTCTAAGAATTCCGTGGTTGCCGCAGAAGCAAGTCAAGAAGCCATCGTCGTCCGCAGTTTCTGTTGCCGATGCTACGTCACCACTTATATACCCTCAACACTCCCCTGCGCCATCACGGTCTCTACAAACAGCTGACTCGCCCAGAAGACGGCCCGTCAGGATTCGGCAGGCTTACATGCAGGCAACTCCACCCCGAAGCAAAGCCCTCCTAGATTTAATTTGGTCACTGGGCTACCAAGAAACGGCACTGACAAAGGGTCTGAGGGCGCGTTGCCCGCGTCCAGAGCATAGTTTTCTCAGCTAGGCAGGTCATTTAAACTGATGCGCAGGTCAACGCAAGCCCCAAACCCAACTAAACCTCTACGATCCTCTACCACCCAAACTGCTGCAGGACGCTGCTGGAGTGCTCACCTCAACCTTGCATCTTTGGCTGCACCTGTGTAGGGCACACGCATGGGATTTAAGGTTTCGGGGCTCATCTCCCAGCTACTGCTTCCGATTAGGACATCCCAAAACTTCTTCAAACCTGAACTGCAGATCCGGGGAGTTAGTTAGCATCACAAAGCACAAAGCGCACGCCATGTTCTTATGTGTAGAAGAGTATATGAATGGAGCTGGAACAATGACTGCACCAGGCAGTGAGAGAATGACCATTTTGATGCCCGGACATTGTGATATCCGGATACACACATTGCTGTTTACATATGTTTACATTGTACTGACTGGTTTTGCCCAACACAGTGTCCCAGCACTATATAGGGTCAACACTTCCAGGGTAGGGTTTAGACTACTGTGGCCGCGCGGCAAGCGCGGCGTTCGCAGTGGCTCGCGCCTGCGGTCGCTCGTTTTGGGTCTCCCGCTTTGGCTCGCGGGGCGTACGCAAGGAGTTCAGAGGTGTCCACAGCATCGCAAATGGCATGCTGCTCTCGCCACGGTCCTGTGCACGTGCTCCCCAAGTGCGGGACACTTCGGTGCTTGGCCCTTGGAGTGCTCAAGTTGTTAGTGTTACTTAGACTTGTAACATCTTCTCACTTACTTGCAAATAAGGCTCGTGCACACCTGCGTACATTACATTTTATTGACAATATTTAATATATTGCTTAGCTTATAGTATACTATCTTGTCTTATATCATTTTATCGTATATGACGATATATATATATATGTACACAAATAAAAAATGCAGTATTTCTATATATGAGTCTCTCGCCGGCCGAGGTTTGTACAATCTGCCTTATGGTATCCAGTACGACCACGACTGCAACAATGTCAAGACAGGTCGGGCTGGTTGGGCAACGCACTCACTTGTAGGATACGGCCCTTGCCTCGCACCTGTAGGGCACGTGTTGGCCGTCAACTCGAATATTGCGAGTAACTTTGAGGGACACCTAAACCCTTTTAGCCCCAAAGCCAAAACCCCTGAATCCCCTGAATGCGCCAGCATTCAAGCACCCCCTCTCCCAGCACCCCTCCCCCTCACGATACTGTATCCCCCCCTTCCCCCCCCATTCCGCTCATTTGGTGTGGTTCATGGTGGGGTTGTGGTTTCCGTAGACGACTGTACAACCATAGTATACTGTTGTAGATGATGGCAGGAGTCGTGTAGATCGTAGTACTTGCCCTACACCCTACACCCTAAAACCAAAAAACCTTGGCCAGATGAGAGCTGCACCGTCTCCTGCGCCGACGGCTTCGTCGGCGCTGCCACGGTGCTGATCTGCGAGGGCACGCGGGGCTTGGCAGGCCACCTATGCATTATTAGGGTTTAGGGTTTAGAGTGTTTAGGGTTTAGGGCTGCTGTTTCGTAGAACCCCCAAATAGTAACAAAAACAGAATCACGATATTGCCCTTGCAAGGGGGAAAATTTGAATTGTGTTGGTGGGGGTTTTAAAGCAATTAGTGAAGGTCGGCAGGTTTTTCGAAAGTCTCGTTTCAAGAGCTTGTTCGCATAAACCCAGGATCAAAGCAACGTGGTTTTGGGTTGGGGGCTCGGGATTTAGGGCTTGGACATTATGGCTTCGGGATCCTGAACGGCACCATGGTTGATGCTTGGCAATGGTCAGCTTCATGCACGCTTAAGCACACGGTCCATTTTCAACTTTTCGACCGGAGACTCGAGATGTGGACTTCCTTCAACAGTCCTGTCCCGAAGCACGCTGACAAATACCCATTGTCTTCTTTGAGTTGAAGCCGCATCCGCGCACTGTTTCTGTGAATCGGCGAGTGGGCAGTGATCCGCATGTTTTTGCCTTGCTGTCGATACCTGTTCCGAAGCGGGCATGGCATATCTTGGATCTTGCGGAATACCTCTCCGGCGATCTTGAAGTTCTGATGAACCCTCTGCACAGTTTTTGGTACACAGACGATAGCGCTTCTGGCACGAAACTCACGCTGTGAACTTGTTGCTTTGTTGATGTACTTAAGCCTCTGGAGCGGGTGTGCAGCACCAGCT